CATTTTCTTCTCCATATCTTTTAATTTCTATATCATGCACCTTCATCTTGTAATGTCATTCTCTAAATTATCCAGATTTACCTTTTAACTTACTAATTTTCTGTTAAGGGAGGTCTAACCAATTGTCTAACTTAGTCATTTGAGTTTTAAAATCTAAGAACTATATTTTTCATTTCTAGAAATTCTAAGGGCACCTGGGTGGCTCAGTTGGTTGAGCACCTGCCTTCAGCTTGGGTCATGATCCCAGGGTCCTGAGATGGAGCCCTACATTGGGCTCCCTGCTCAGTGGGGAGCCTGCTTCTCCCTCTTCCTCTGCCTGCCACTCTACCTGCTTATGCTCAAATAAATAAAATCTTTAAAATAAATGTCAAATAAATAAAATCTTTAAAATAAATAAAGTTTAAAAATTCTAATTAGTTGGTTTCCAAAATTGCTCAGATATTTTGGGGGAAAGGGTCTTATTCTTTTTCATGTTTTTGTTCCTTTTTGTTTTGAATTTGCTGAGTTATTTTATGCTTTCTGATACTACTCTCATCCATTTAAATTCACTGGGTTACTTTATGGTTTCTAACATTACTATTAACCAAAGTTATTAGAGGTTTAATTCTGGCAATTTATTCTGTCTGCTTATTCTCACATATGGTGCTTTATAACTTTTGATGGCAAGGTCCTGTTCAGCAGGACTTTATCTAGCGGTATTCAATAGATATTGGGTTGAGGTTATATCCCTCCACAGAGGTCTTACATTTGCTTCTATCTCAGTAGTATTACCATCCTCAGAGCACTTTTTTTAATGGAAATTTTAAAACATATGCAAAAATAAATGAATGGCATAATGAAATGCTATCTATATATTACCTAGTTTCAACAATAATCAACATGCAGCTAATTTTGTTTCATCTACATCTCCACTTACTGTGCACCTCTCTTGAACTGGATCATTTTAAACCAAATTCCAGATAGCATGTCATTTCATTTCTTTTAAAAAGATTCTTAACAATTCAAAACTAATAACTGCTTTGTGTCAACAATATTCAGTCTGTGGGCAAATTACCCTGATTGTCTCTTTCTAATTTGTTTAAAGTGAGAGGGAGAAATCGTTAGTTTGAAGCAGGTTTCAAACAAATCTGGATCTACTTTTTTTTTTTTAAAGTAACTTCTATACTCAATGTGAGGTTGGAACTCAACATTCATTAATCAAGAGTTGCTATGTTCTACGAACTGAACCAGTCAGGCACTCCTGGGTCTACTTTTTAAGCTAACTTCTCCCCTTAAACAAATCTGGATCTACTTTTTTTTTTTTTTAAGTAACTTCTATACTCAATGTGAGGTTGGAACTCAACATTCATTAATCAAGAGTTGCTATGTTCTACGAACTGAACCAGTCAGGCACTCCTGGGTCTACTTTTTAATTAAGCTAACTTCTCCCCTTAAAATTCCTAGATCAAGGGATCCCTAGGTGGCGCAGTGGTTTAGCGCCGGTCTTTGGCCCAGGGCGTGATCCTGGAGACCCGGGATCGGATCCCACGTCGGGCTCCCGGTGCATGGAGCCTGCTTCTCCCTCTGCCTGTGTCTCTGCCTCTCTCTCTCTCTCTCTGTGACTGTCATAAATAAATAAATAAATAAAATTAAAAAAAAATTCCTAGATCAAGCTGGTGGTATAAATTCAAACTCCACACACTCATGAGGACAGGCACAGGCTTCTAGATTTTTAGATTTCCCCTACACACCCCATGATCCCCCTACTCCCAAGACCAGGACAGACAAAATTTTCTTTAACACTTCCTGGTGCCAAGGGCATTTTTTCCCTAGATTTCCTCTTCACTGAGGGTATAGCCTTTCAAGAGTCCCTGGCTTTACACAAGGGCCTCAGTTCCAAGTCCTTACCTTTTATAGACAAGCCTCCTTCCCCTTAGTAGCAATTAAAATATAAGTTCCTAATGTTTTATATCTTAGTAAATACATGAACTTACACCAAAATCCACTGAGTACTTAAGATCTGGATATTTCATTGTATGTAAATCATACATCAATTAAAAATAAAACTCAGTTATATTTGTATCAAATCAGCAAATCTACCCCACTCCCACCCAGAATAGCATCAGTACCAATTCCTCTTAATACATAGGTTTTCAATTTCCTCTATGTTTTTCCTCCTTGGATGCCCCTTACTTTCTTGCATTCACAACCATATACATTTCAAGGGATTTTTATATTTTCTCCAGACTCCCTACTATTTTGTAATGTGAGGGTGGCCAAATTCTCTGAATTAGTTGTTCCCAACCAAGGGAGATTTTGCCCCCTAGAGGACACTTGGCAATGTCTGGAGACATTTTTGGTTGTAACTAGTGGGTACGGCTGGCATTTAGTGAGTAAAGTTCCAGGGACACTGCTAAACATTCCATAATGAATTGGACAGTCTTCCACAACAAAGAATTATTTGGGCCAAAATTTAAATAGTGTCAATGTTGGGAAAGCTTGACCTATATCACCTTAATTGTAGGAATGTTTGGCCTTCACCTTTGCCTTCCACAATGACATATTACAATCTTTAGCTATCACTCGCCATGAAAATGTCTTTCCTGAAAATTTGATTTAAAATTCCCCAAATAAAACATTTTTCAAAATGAAATGTGGGGAAAAGAGGGGATCTTGGCATATGGGTCTTCATCTTCTCCACTCTCATAGTCCTAACAGATAAAAACTGTTGTTGGATAAGCATGTCAAAATTAGTCACAGAAAAAAATAAAGGACTTCATAGCTAAAATTAAGAACCTTAGAAATCAAAACTTAACAATGAGAAATTTATATACCTAACACATGTATTTGACAGGTTATAACTTCACATTCCAAGCCAATGTTCACTGGTAAATTATTGTCCCAAATGCTCTGGCTAGGCTAAGCAGTAAGGAATAAGCTGGATGCCCTTTGGTAGCAAATTTAAAAACACTGTCTTAAGCTAAACACCCCACTGAAAGTGTAGCTTCACTTTTCTTCAACTATCTAAAACTGCTTAATATGCTTCTGCTTCAATATTAATGATAGAGCATTTATTGTTTTACTACACTGAACTACAAGACAGGCAGGACTTAAGCTTCAAAATGTGGGTAAGTCTATTGATCTTATTTTACTAATATTATTTAGTATTGCAGGCATATTATGAGGGACAGAGAATAACATAATAAACACCTATGCTCTTACCAAACACCTTAAGAAATAAAGTTCCTAGATATGACAGTTGCCCCCTACAGAACTCTGTTCCCATCCCCTTCTCCCCAGAGGTAACCACTCTCTCAAGTTAGGGGTTCATCACTCCCATGCTCTTTACTATTTTCACATGACATATATAATCCATAAACTATACACAGTATCATTTAATACTGATATAAATGGTATCAAACATATTTTCTACAACTTCCTTTTTGTTACTGATAATTTCCTTCTTTTAATAGCTATAGGAATCAAGAGAAGGAGCATACGGAATTGCTGAATGTGTTCAGCTTCTGTCTCCAAAGAGAAACTCTCTGATTAGGTTGAATTTGTCCCTAAATATACCTGTCTACAGTGCTCTGTGCCCTTTTCTACTACATGCTAATGAATCTGGAAAATGAAAATTCATAGCCTTACCTCCAGATACAGGAATATTCACCAAAACCCAGTTCTACCATATGAAATCCACTGTTTTAAAGAATCTTTCCTTTCTACGAAAGGGTGGTAATAGAATATGGGTCGTGAATTCACTGCAATTGTTTATATACAGAATTCACTATATCTTGTTATTGTGTTTCTTAAGAAATATTAATAGCAGTAACATACCAGATTTGACCAATCTATTTTCAGATATAAAACATAAGAAGTCTGCTAAAGCAGACCACTGAAAACACAAAAACCTTTATTTATAGGTGAGCAAAAGAAAAGAAAGCCTAGATATTTTTATCCCTTCCACATCAGCAGGTGAGTAGAAGAGGTGAGAGAGATAAGAGTAAAAATATTAGCTGGGTTTTAATAGTTCTTCTAAGGATTCAAGACACTAGTCTGAGAATGATATCTTAGAGTCAGATTTAGACCATGACGCTCAGCTCCCCTAAGGGAGAAAGCTGACACGATCATTGCTCTTTCCAGGCAAGTTCAGCAGCTGTTACTGAGAAGACAGATATTTAGTGCCCTAGAGATTCATGGAGGGATGGATTCATGGACAGAGAGTACTTCAAAGTACACTGCTGATTAGGCCTAACAATAGCTTGGTCAGGGAAAAAGGTGAACACCCTAAAATATCACCAAATAGAAAAAGAAAATAGGCTTGGCTAGTATTTAGGACAATGCACAGTTCAAGTCCAGAGAGCCTTTTATCCTTGAGCAAAAAGTTATCCTTCCTTTTTAAGTTAAGTTATCCTTCCTTGGTCTCACATTCCCCATGCATGAGGACTCAGACCATTAACACACTACTTCTCACTTCCATCCTGCAACCAGAATCCCTGAGCGGAATAGAACCTAAGAAAGAACAAAAGAGGATGAAAGGAAGATGTCATGTATAGAAGTATGTCTAAAAGGCTGTAAAAAGTAATCAAAATATACTGTTTTTTATGTTTATTACCTAGTTAATATGGTGATCGGCGATCTTATACAGAATCAAAATCAAAAGGCTTTGCAATGACAAAAATAGACAGGGAGATTAAAAAATTTCAGGCAAGATGCTTTTATCACAAGTGATAGCTAGACAGCAATATCACAATACACCTGCAGTGGAGATTTGAGTTTAATGCCATAAGGTGGTCTAGAAAATTTTAAATGCACCTAGTTTAGGCACTAACGGCCATGAGACAGCAAGGCCTGACGCATGCTCTGCAAAAGGAAAGCAACAACTTGCTGGGAAAGAGAAGACATACAAAGATTCAGTAGGCACACTGATTCTGAAAGTGTGCTTATGAATCACCAAGTCAGAACCACCTCCCAAGTCACCTAGATCATGACCATATTTGCAATCCTCAGCTTTTCCTTACCTAAGTATATCACTGACAGTAATTTCAGGGATAAACTTCTGAAGGTGCTTTACTGTTGCACTGAGAAAACAGGCTTTATACATTTCATTAACTCCATAGGAAAAATTCTGGAACACCAATTTAATCAAGCCACTGAAAATAAACAAAAAATAAAATATGAGAGAAAGGAATTCTTTATTATTACAAGAAACCTTTACAGCTATGAGATTTTGAGAGGTGGCATCAAAGAAACATAGGCAAAATCAGAAAAAAACACCTATTAAAAGAAAATCAACTTTTGGTCAATATAAGGAGGATACTTCATCAAAGGAATACCTTCCAGATTTAAATTCCCAGGGAATGCTGGTTTCAAACTGGAATTCTATAAAGCCTGCCAACAACAAGGTTTTCTTTTCTTTCTTTAAAGATTTTATTTATCTGACAGAGAAACAGCACAAGCAGGGAGAACAGCAGGTAGACAGAGAAGCAGGCTCTCTCTATGCTGAGCAAGGATCCCAACGTAGGACTGGATCCCAGGGATCTGGGATCAGGACCTGAGCCAACGGCAGATGCTTAATGCATTGAGCCACCCAGAAGCCCCACAACAAGGTTTTCTAAGGCAAATATTACATGCTTTCAATTACATCTAAAAGTTATTAACAGATCTTTAAATCAGAGCCATTAAGCAAATAGAATATCTACCCTACTTTTCTTTGGTCAGCCAGAGGTCAGATACTTCAGATCCTCAAGCTGAGACTCTATGGAACCTCCATGTATGTATATGTATATGTATTTTTAGAAGCACACACGCTAGAAGGCCCATCCTAAAATTTCTGTTTCAGAATCAGTGAAGGGTAAAATTCTAATATAGCTTAATAAGCTTTCTAGTGATTTTAATGTGAAAACCTCTAGTGTACAACACTGTTAAATAAAATACCTCACTGAGTTATTTCTTATAATAAAGAATCTGCCATCTAGGTCAATACAATTTATTGTTAGTTTTCCACAAAAGGAAACAACTTTGGTTATCAGCAATTTCTCCAGTGATTTTCAAAATAAGATGACTGGCTTTGAAATGATCTTATCAAAGTAAGCCATCTACTGATTTTGAAAGAAACTTTTTTTTCAAACTCAACTAAAAGATTAGGCAAACAAGATTTGGATTGTCAGATATGTGTTTGGCTTTTGGTCTTGTTCTTTTTGACCAAGATACTACCCTGGCCCATCACAATTTTCTTAAAGTAGTTAAGACATTATTCCACAAAGCTCTTAATCTGGATTAATTAAAAAATCAATATACCAATCACAAATATGAGGATTTACCCAATAAACAGAACATCAAGAAAGATGAAATTTCCCATGTTAAAAAATACGTGTATGAATTTTTTTATGTAAATAAAATTACCTCTTGATAATTATATCCATAACATCTCTGGCATTGAAGTCAAAGGGTTTGTAGCCCTCTCGTTTAAAGGCAAGAACTGCATTAGGTCCTAGCCAAATACTGCCGTCCATCCGCGGTGTGAAGTGAACCCCTAGGAAAGGAAACCGGCTATCTGGGACCTATGAATTTAATACAGCAAAGAGTTATTAGCTCATTTCATATTGCATTCTATTATACATGCAAACACTCAGCTGATAAAACTTTCTTCCAATGCATTTAAGTTGATTTCTTTCGATCTGTTACTGAGATATTCTTTTCTATATTTACACACTTCTGCCTAGAAGTGCCACACAATAGCAATGCTATTGACACCAATATACATTGTCTCATGTGTCCCTCTTTCTGGATTAAAAAGAAAGAGAGAGAACTGTCTTGATAACGTTATTCCCCACTCCCCAGCTCCTTACCCACAAACTAGAAATGTATATGGCTGGCAAGTAAAATCAGAGCTGCCAGGAGAAAATACCACATTTATAGTATAGGCTTTTAGAAAGTGGAAATACATTAGGTTGAAGCAGATGATATGTATGTTTTTGGCACCATCAAAAATATTAAATAGCTGAATAGTGGCAATTTCATCTAGTTCAACCTAGTAGTTCCAGAGAGAAGAATGAATTCTTCATTTAAATGTCTCTGCCTAGATCATGAAACTAGAGGGTGGCCACATCCCCTTTTCTACACCTATCCATATTGAACTGAGAAAGACAGCTGGGTATCTGGGTGTCATGCTATAAGGGAAAGTTCTCTTATGATTGTTCCTTCCTCCAGAGAGGGGGAAGAATTGGGTTCTTTCTTGATAGCTTTTTCCATGGAAACTCATGCTTTCTAGAGACATGCACTTGTAAGCCATTAATTACAATTTCATAACTATGATTTCAGAGTAAAGATTTAGGGATTAAATGACAAAAGAAACAGGTGAAATGCTTACCCAAAAAGCACTTCAAGATATTACTTCTGACCCAAGTAAAAGTTTTTGTTTCATTCCCCCCTCCCTTTTTTTAAGGTATTATTTATTTATTCATGAAAGACACAGATGAGAGGCAGAGACGTAGGCAGAGAGAGAAGCAGGTTCCTTGCAGGGAGTCCAATGCGGGACTTGATCCCCAGACCAGACCTGGGATCACACCCTGAGTCAAAGCCAGATGCTCAATCGTTGAGCCACCCAGGTGCCCCTGTTTCATTCCCTTTTTTGCCCACAACTAATCTTGAGAAGGGTGAGAAGGCAGAAGCATCATTACCTACCGGATAAATATTTCCTTTTACAAGATAGCATTTTTCTGGCTTCAAGAGCAGGTAATCTCCCCGGAATGGTACAATTTGAGGATCAGGATTACAGCCACTCAACTCTGAAATACGATCTGAGTAAAGTCCTGCACATGTCACAACATATTGACACTGAACTTCCTCTCCCTAGTGCAAAAGAAAATAAGAGTAGGTAGTAAAGAGGGAAACATAGGTCAAGGGGGGAAAGCAGATGATAGAAAAGATAATAAGGGTACAGAAATGGGTTTTTTCTTATTTATTTTAAAAGAGTAAAACTAAGTACAAGTATCAGCAAAATAAGTTCTCCAGCATGCAAGGAGGTGTCACCTTAAACTTTGTACTTTAGAGGTACAATCATTGACTGTATCAGGATACTTAAATCAGACAAATATATACCCCCCTATTTTACTAAGATTTACCATGAAACTTAACTATTTGTTGTATAAGAAGCAAACTTCATATAAATGGGTAGCCTCCGCCAATATGGCCTCCTCTGTATTTCAGACAACTTCTCCTGTCTTATCTATGAGTAACTATCCTCCTACTCTTAGATTGCTTCACACTCAATAATCTTGCTCAATTCCAATCCACCAACCAATTTCTCCTTCCTGATCAATATTTACTTTGCAAATCGAGGCTACTTTTGAAATTTCATCCTTTCAATCCACATTTACTGAGAACACACACTATAGAGTTAAGGCTTGCTTTAATAACTAGGAGACCACTAATTTTAGGCTGTTACATTTTCCTATAAATTTTATTTTGTGATTATCTGCATATTTTATGCTTTACTCTGCCAGCATTAGCCAATTTGTCACCCTATTTCCTAAATGATTTCATTTAACCCCAATTCCCTACCATGTTCTAATTTCCCTCTTTAATTCTTACAAGAGTAAACAACTAGGACCCCCTGCTCCAGGTAATTTCCTGTTCCTAGACTTCTTTCTTGGAAAACCTGTTTCTGAGACCTCAGACTTATCTGTCTCAACATTCTTTCCAGCTCTTACTGATTCAGCCTTATTCTATCTCTACATTCTATTTTGTCTAGCTACAAAGGTAAGCCTCTTTTCAAGTTATACAACTCACACTTCTGACAGAAATCGGATGGAACTTTTTCATAAAGAACTCAAATTAGCTAGGCTAAAACATGATAGTTTTAAGATCCTTGAAGTCAAAAGTGCTATGTCAACAAAAACAAAAAATGCCTTCTTCTAAATAGGCTAATATCTTCCTGTTCATCTAGAGGTATGCCACAAGTACATGAAATATTCTTATGTGATATAAATCTGCTAGTTCCTACTTGAAAGGTCAGCAATTATTTTGTTCTTACAACATAAAATGTAAATAAGACTTATGATAAATGTAAAGATATGAGAATTTGTAGAATAGTACCAGCATACAAAAACCTAGAATTTCTCTTTTAAAAACTCAGGGAATAGTACTACAGAAAGGAATGACTAAAAACTGTCATAGGTCCCTGAAATAATTTTATAATATCCATGAAATAATAATTAAATTTAGTAACACATTAACTTCACATCCAAAATTGAAATTTAGGTAAACACACTGAATGATATATTTGTTCAAATAAAAATTTCTTAAAAAAATAAACTATGCATCTCTACTGCTATTTCAGAAGTGAAACAGACTTTTTCCCTATATGCAATGCATAAATCTTTAGTTTGCAAATCCTCTCCCCTAAAAGTATTCTTTTTTTTTTTTTTTTTTTACAGAGGGAGGAGAGGGAGGGGCAGAGGGAAAGGAAGAGAGAGAATCTTAAGCAGGCTCTATACCCAGCACGGAGCCTGACACGGAGCTTGATCTCACAGCCCTGAGATCATGACCTGAGCTAAAATAGTCAGACACAACCAACTCAGCCACCCAGGTGCCCCCTCGCCCCCCAAAAATTTATTCTTAATTTAACCTCTTTTAGCTTCTCATAGAAGCACAGATGTCCAATTTGGTAAGTTGACTTAAAAAATTTAATTATAAAAAATGTTTAATTATATTTAACTATATTAAAGGTAAATGCCAAAATAAAAGGCAACAGCTACAGCAACTGTGGGTAAAATACATATTCGCTGGAATCCCAGAGGCCCCTGCATATCTTCCATCACATGATGCCATACTCTAGTGAAAATGGCCCTTTGATGAGGGCAGGAACAGAAACAGACTTTTAATCCTTCTTTGAATGGAGATCCTGGATGCTCTGTCAGTCACTTGGAGCACATGACCCTGTAGATCTGATCAGGGTGTCTGTGGCAGACAGCGATGTTTTATGGAGACTTTGGTAGGTCCCTATAGGCAAATCACAACACAGAACTTTAGGATTTTGGAGGAAATTTATACCATCCTCTGCAGATAACTGTCTTCCTTTTGAGAAAGTATATCTGGCTTTGACTCAACACTTGACCACAGGTCAGTAAGTTACCATGTAAACTACCCATTATTGGTTGTATGTTGTCTGACTCACCACGCCCCAAAACTGGGTGTGTACAGCAGTATTCTGTCATCAAGGGGTAGCAAAATATACAAGATGAGGGATGTATAGGTCCTGCAGGCACACATAAGTTATAGAGGCAGGTGGCTCAAATTCCCATGACCCCCTAGTCCTGCTAAATTACTTCCTCCTTCTCAAGTTGCCCTGTGGCCCTATGAGAAGTTCTCTACGATCATCTGGCCAAGGAATAAAAAATACAGGCCTATTTTATAAATGGTTCTGCACAGATTCTGGTTACTTGAAAGTAAATAACTAAAACCAGAGCCCCACTCAGGAATGACCCTGAAGGACTGTGATGCAGGTAAAAGTTCCCAGTGGGCAGAACTTTGAACACCATACCTGTTGTTTATCTCACCTAGAAGGAAACGTGGATAGAAGTATGGATCTATATTGCTTCATGTGCAGTAACTAATGCTATGGCTGGTTGGTTAGGAAAAGGAGCTCTGAAAAAAAGGTATGTGAATGGACCTTTCCAAACAAGCTCAGAGAGTGATATTTGAGTTCCATATGAATGCTCATTGAGAGTAGCCATGGCAGACGAAGATTGTGATAACCAGTAGACAAGATGACCTGCTCTATGGATGTTAATAAGCTTCTTTCCCCAAGCACCCCTGTCCTTAATGGCTTCATGAACTAAATGGTTATAGCAAAAAGGATGGAGGTGATGCCTGGGTTCATCAACATGGACTTACTTCCAAGGCTGATCTGGCTATAGCCACTGCTAAATATTCAATCTGCCAACTGCAGAGACCAGTAGAGCTAATATGGTCCCTGGACCACTTCAATTAAAAAAAAAAAAAAAAAGCCAGCACTTAGTCCTCACTGAAACAGATACTTGCTTGAATATAGATCTGTCTTCCCTGCCTACAATATTTCTGAAGAAACCACCATCTGTGAACCTACAGGATGCCTTATTCACCATTACGGTATTTTGCCCAGAAGCATTACTTCTGATCAGTGAGCTTATTTCACAACAAATGAAGTATAACAATAAGCTCATTCTTGTGGAATTCACTGATCTGACCATTTTCTCCATTGCCCTGAAGCTGCTAGGTGACAAAAAGTACAATGTGTTTTTGAAGATTCAAAACAGAATTCACTGGCTAGCAACACCTTGCAGGGCTGGGACAAAGTCTTCCAGGATGCTCTATATGATTTACATATGGTATTTCTCCCAGCCAGGATTCACAGGTTTGGAAATCAAGGGGTAGAAAGGGCAATAGCTCTTTACTATTAAATTAATCCACTAGTGGAATTTTTGCTTTCTATCTCCACAATTTTGGACTCTGATATTTAGAAGTCTTAGTTCCCAAGGGAAAATTGCTTCCATTAGAGAATAAAAAATGGTTCCATTAACCTATAAGTTAATACTGCCATACCTAACCACTTTGGGTTCCTTGTGTCAGTGAATTAACAGGCGAGAGGATTACTCTCCTGAAAGGGGAAACTGAAAATGAGTCTCAAGGAGAATTAGAGTTGCTACCACACAGAGAGCTTGAGGATGATAAGCAGAAAGATGTCCCCAATATAGATCTCCTGGGGGTTTCTCTTAGTATTTCTATGTTTTGATATAAAAGTTCATGGAAAATATCACAACCCAAAATAGCCAGGGCTACTAATGCCACAGACACTGCAGGAATGAAGGTTTGAGTTATCCCACCAAACTGGAACATGACTAGCTGAGATGCTTGCCAAGGGCAAAGGAGCTGTGGAATACTTAATGGAAGAAGGAAATTATAAATATCAGCTATAACCAGGTGATCAGTGAGAGAAATGAAGAATGTATAGTTATGAATATTCTTTCCTGACTTTGAAATAAATATATTTGTCTATATACAATTCTTTCTTTATCTTCATTATTATGGACTGAATTGTGTCCACCTCCCACAAGTGCATTTGCTGAAGCCCCTGCTCCTAATGTGACTGTATTTGGAGATAGAGCCTTTGGGGAGGTAATTAAGGTTAAATGAGGTCACCTAATCTGCGCTTATAAGAGTAAGGGATACTACAGACTGCTCTTTCTGCACATGTGCACGCATAGAGAAGAGGCCATGTGAGGACACAGCAAGAAGGCCGCCATCCACAAGCCAAGAAGAGAGATCTCAACAGACACCAAACCTGATGGCACCTTTATCTTAGACTGCTAGCCTCTAGAACTGTGAGAAAATAAATTTCTACTCCCTAACCCATCCAGTCTGTGGTATTCTGTTGTGGTAAACAGGAAGACTGATACACCCATTTCTATGATTTCTCCATTATCTAACACAGGGTTTTTCAACCTCATTGCCACTGATGTTTGGGACCAGAGACTTCTTACTGTGGGGCCTATCCCTCACATCTAGCATCCCTGGCCTCTATCCACTAAATGCCAGTAGTGCTTACCTCCTCCACCAATTGTGACAACCAAAAATGTCTCCAGATATTGCTGAGTATCTCCTGGGGGGCAAAGTCACCTCCAGTTAATAGCTATTGATCTAATATATTTAAATAGTGGTTAGTTAGCCTTATAGGATCACAAGGAGGGAATGTGACTCAGCTAAACAGAAATGAAAATCACAGAGATGGATTGAGTGGACTTTGTATCTTTTTTGGAGAGTTAGCATATTTTCAGCTGTATATAAAAGATAGTTGCATCTTGCAGATGGAATCATAATTTTACTACTGTGTGTATCTGGAAGTTAAATGTGGTTATAAGGGGTGTGAAAGGATGCCAAGTTGAAAAGGGATGGCCTGCAGGAGTTTAACTGTCAATTTGGTTAAGCTGGGAAGTATAACCGACACAATCCCCTTCCCTGTAATGGTTCTAACTTAAAGTTGACCAAAAGAGGAATTGCATATGATTTGGCAGGCATAAGAAGGCAGCAGCCATTATTCTCTGAAGGTCATTCTAGTCCAATGGGGTGACAAAAACCCACTGCTGAGTGAATTATAGCTCCATATCTAGCTCTGCTTCCCAACTACTAATCCTACAAAGTATTGCCCTAGCCCACTACTTGAGTGAGAGGCAAGAGCTCCCCCAGAATGCCTCATGAGCTTCCCATTTACAGTCCCACTTTAGCAGATGGACACACTTGGCTTCCCAGACTGGCTGGAGATGCCTTTAATCTACCAATTCCCCTTCTGAACCTGTGCTTCCCCAGATCACTTCACAGCTGTGTAAGATCTAATTCCTATAATAAATCCTACAACCCTCATGAATGACTCTGTTCACATGATTGAACTCTGATCATTCAGGGAATATATAGTGAATGCAATGCTCCTATGCCATTCAATAGCTCTAATTTTAGGCTACATGGAGATGAAGGAAAGCAGTTCATTTCCTTCTGAGCAATCTGCCCTCCACCAAAGTCCTCTAACTGGTAGAGAGTTAATAAGTTAATGCAGGTAAGTAGGTGGAGCAATAAAATATTTATCAGTTTTGCCCGCAAATGCTAATAATCCTATTCTTTGCTGGCACAATCACTTCGTGATGACATTTCCAAGTTGATACCCTTTTAGAAAAAAAGTAAGCTTTAAATTGCTTTCAGAGAATTTCTCTCAGAATAACTTCTGCATTAGACAAAATTCACTTAAGGACATAGAAAACAACATTGTAATTAATTCAATTTTTTAAGGGAAGAGATGAAAGTAGATAACATAGATGCAAGTAGTGTTAACAATTTTTACCTTTGTATTCCTAATAATGATTGGATATTTCATCTCTGGAAAAAAAAAAGAATTAGTGGAAGATTTATTTTTAGTAAAGAAGGCCTACATTTTTGATACATTATCCTAGTAACAAATTTAAACAATTTTCTTCTGTTGTAACTATGAGTGCCTCCTACTTTTCATTCTAATGCTCTTTACAAAGTAATAAAATTAAACTAGTTCATATTTGATAATATATAAAACTCTGGCATATTTTAAAACTTGTTTTAATTCATTGAATCTATGGTTATAGACCACTCCCCATCTCAGATCCAACATAGGGAGTCCCAGCTTTTCTCTGAACTATAATCCTAGAAACCAAGCTGTCAAATAGATAATCATTAATCTGTATGTATTTTCACAAAGGACTAATGAGAGCTTTTTGTCTAAGTGTTGTAAACTGAGTCTTTGCAGATTCTAGGCTTCATAGAGAAGCAAAAGTTATCACAACACAAAAATTTCCAATAATAAACTATTTATAAAATACTATAAAATATAAAAAACTATAAAATCTCAATCAGGCACATGGAATCCTAAAGTCTTAAAAAGCATATGTATATCAAGTAAAGAATATGATCTGTTTGTATCATAAATTTGATTTTATGCTACCTGTCAATACTAATCTTAATAATTTAATGATTTTGTTAATCATATTGCATTTTAGAAGGGCTCTGGGAGAATGATTCAGATGGCCCAAATCTCCTTAAAAATCTGTTAAGGAAGAACTGAGAACTACACTTTTTCTCCTTCAAATTTCCCAATAGCAAAAATGTCAAAAAAAAAAAAAAAAGTTCAAGGTTACAAACCAATTCATTTGGTTTTAAAACAATTTTCCTCCAAATAAAGCAAAACAAAACAAACTCTAAGTAGTCTACAATGGTGGGGGGCAGGGAGAGTTCAAAATGGCTGAGTCATACCCTATCTCCAGACAGTCTTATTCAGTAAGACTAAGTGATGCTAAAATCTGTGTTTTTCTTAAAGATTTTAAAGTAATCTCTACATTTAACATGGGGCTCAAACCCACAAACCCAAGATCAAGAGTCACATGCTCTTCCAACTGAGCCAGCCAGGTACCCTGAAATCTGCATTTTTAATAAGCATTTGCAAGGAATTTTGACCGTAATCTTGTAATCTACAAAATAAGCAAGTGTCTGGAGGCTAGTTTTCCATTAACAGACTAGGCAGTTCAGGTTTTAGCATCAGTCAGTAGTGTCCAATCAATGCTAAAGTGCTATCAGCACAAGACACCAGAAGCTCCGATTCTCCCACATTCAATCCCATATTCATCCTTTCTGCACCTGCATCCAGTTCTGCACCCTACTTTAGCCTAGCCCCTGGTGGCCCTCCTGTCAGTACCATCCCAGCCAAAAACAGTCCCAAGTTCGTTCAGAAGTCAATACAACTATTCAAAAGAAAAGATAAGGATGCCTTACCATCTTTACTTCTTGAAGGAATTTCTTTAGCCATTTCAATATCTTTTACTTCAAAATTGGTCAAGACAAAGCCACCTGCTTCTTGGAAATCCTGGGCAAATGACAAAGCCACCTGTCGATAATCCACAATGCCAGTGTATGGGCAATCAATAGCCATTAGGCCCTAGGATAGGATTATGAAAAAAGTCAAGATCATACAAATAAAAATCATCGAGAATAAGTTGTTCAATAAATTTTATTTGGGACTGAATTTTTTTACTGCTAATTTTGATAGATAGCATTCATCATCATTTCAGGCAGAAATTCAGTGCCTACATGATGAGATGAACACTGGGTGCTATACTATATGTTGGGAAATTGAATTTAAAAAAATTTAGGGGCACCTAGGTGGCTCAGTGGTTGACTGCCTGCCTTTGACTCAGGTCATGATCCCAGGGTCCTGAGATCAAGTCCCACATCAGGTTCCCTGCAGGGAGCCTGCTTCTCCCATTGCCTATGTCTCTGCCTCTCTCTCAGTGTCTCTCATGAATAAATAAATAAAATATTTTTAAAAAGTAAAATAAAAAAATAAAATAAATTTTAATAAAAAAATTCAGTGCCTAAATCTGATGTTGAATATGTCTAAGAAATAAATAATATTGGCTAAATAAGAAAATCTCTGTACTCAGGAAATAATTCTCCTCTGTAGGGGAATTAATTTTGCTGGGTTCTTCTAGCTGCTACAATGAGTTTTTCAGTTTTATTCATCCCTCATCATACCTGATTCTGACTCATATCTGAGTCAAATTCTGTATAACCAAATGATTGTTTTAAATAAACTCTACTGAGGTTTTCCCAGTAGTGTATCATATGTCATGCACACTCAGTGAAGACTCAAGAGTTGTTCTATTTACAATGTTGCAGAGTGCTGATTCGATTTACTACAGACTATCTTCAGGACTACAAATACTGAATGGAGATTTTAGTGGTTAACTCACTTTCTCTTCAGGTAATAGAGAAATTAACAGCCTGAGCTGCTTGTTGTTATGTTGCTATTGTTGTTGTTTTGTGGGTTTTTTTGTTTTTTGTTTTGCCACTCAAGACATGCTCAAACTCGATAGATGAATGATTTATAATCATACTTATTTAATTTCTTAGAATAAATGTTGAATGTTCAGTGGCCTTCTCAAATTCTTAAGAACAGAATTTCACATACCAACTAATGACTAGACTTTGGTGAATCCTTGAAAACAGCATCATTTTTTGTTGCCTTACTATGTATATGAGTATATCAGTTCTCCCAATCTGTTTCCCCTAAGAGGGTGGTAGACTGGTTCCCAGGACAACTAATGCCCAGAAGCTATGTGTGGCTGGTAAATGCTGCCATCTTCTCGTTTGGTCAGCATGGAACTGGTGTTGTTGCAGTTTTACAATAATATCTAATAGTATTATTTTAAATGTCTCATTCTCGTAATCAGCCTCACCCCTACTCCAGTACATTTACCTGCTTAACCTTTAAAGCTTTTGACTTTGCCACCCATCCCTGACCACTAATTCCAAATGGCCAGATCACACTAGAACTAAAGGCTCACAAAACACACAATAGTCTCTTGTCACAAATTGAAAGTAACATAGTTAAACTTGACCCTTGCTTCCAGAATATGAAATCATTTGCCAAACATAGATGTCATTCTGTCTTACGTAGTAGATACATATTTAAGATTTTTACATAGACCTTATATTGCCTGACCACCTCCAAATTCACATGTCAATGGCTATAATCCAGCTTCAAACTATAAATAGTATTTGGGGTACAATAACTTTGGAAACTAACTTAGGATAATATCAAGAGCTTAGTCACAGAAACTTCTCATCTCACATAAAACTACATGACAAATAAGATAAAAGAGGGATAAAAACACACTGTAAAAAGTGCTTGTATCAATAGTTTTTTTGGAATCCCAAATATCTTCCTTATTCATCTTATTTTCCTATTACCCAGCACAATGCCTGACACACAGAAGGCACTCAAATATTTACTGAATAAATGAACTTCTGAGGGCTGTCACCAAACATACTAAATTTCTCCTGCATCTAGACCTTCGCTTAAAGGTCTCCCTTCAGAAATGTGTGGGAGATATCAGAAAGGGACACAGAACATAAAGACTTCTAACTCTGGGAAATGAACTAGGGGTGGTGGAAGGGGAGGAGGGCGGGGGTGGGGGTGAATGGGTGACGGGCACGGAGGGGGACACTTGACGGGATGAGCACTGGGTGTTATTCTGTATGTTGGTAAATTGAACACCAATAAAAATTAATTTATAAAAAAAAAAAAAAATAAAGGTCTCCCTTCTTTCTTTCTCTTTCTAGTGTTGGTTTTGTTCCTCCTCATGAGATGCTGGTATGTCCTACTATACATGTATGTTGGGGGAATGTAGAGTGAGTCACTGCAGCTAAGCAATCCAATGTCCAGGCCCAGGATGGGGCTGGTAGACAGGCTGGCTGTCAGCCAGGAGGCTGGGCATGCATTGTACAGGTTAGCAGGTCAGAGCTTGAAATCTGAGGTTAGGTCAGTGGCTGGAAAAGAACTAGGCAAGCAGGACACAAAATTGGGAGTTGGAAATCAGTCAGGAGGAGAGAGAGAGGAACAGATGAACGTGTGGTTGACCAACAGTGTTAAAGAAAAGGCAAAAGGATCATAAAAGCTAAGGTGAGAGTGAGCAGTCAGGATTTGCACAAAGAGAGGATGTTGAGAGAAATCCTCCAAAAACAAAGTTTACAAAAACTTCCAAGGTGCCCCCTTTGGGGATATTTAATCTTCTTAAAGAGATCTGGTCCAAAACACCCTTTAGAGCTGCCCTGATAAACTTTTTCTTTCTGGAGAGCCTGGAAGAAACAGAAATGAACCCATACACTAGAAATTTTGCCCCCTACTCCTGGTAGTAGTAGTAAGGTTTAAGGACCAGGAGAGAATTCACTCTAGACCTTTATGAAATAACCATACTAAATTTTCCACCATACCTTTCCACCACTAAATACACCTAGGCATAAATAATTATAATGTGGCATTATATAAAGTGTCAGACAATGCTAATGTGGCATTATATAAAGTAGATCAGTTCTGCAGAGTCCTCAGAGAAAAGCAGGCTATAACTCCTTTATAAGTTACACTCCTTATTCATCTTTCAAGTGAAGGCTCATCTCAAGGCTTTCCTAAATTCCTAGACGAAGCTAAAAGCTTTCCCTTACATTGATATGACAGATTACCAGTTCTATCAAAATACTTATCTCTATATTAAAATATTTTCTGCTGTACTATACCTTTCTTTAGGCTGACCACCATATCTTACTCATCCTCATATCTACAGTATCTAACAAAGCGTTTGGCACATAGTTAAGAAGAAAATGTTGGCTGAACAGAAGAGAAACAATACCAGTTCTGAATTAGATCTGAGGGCAGGGACTCTTTAGGACCTGTGTAATCTTAGGAAAGTAACTGAATCACTTTCTTCATTTATAAGACACAAAATTACATGTAGATATGTAATTTGATTATTTACGTAAACATAGCTCATCTACTCATTCTGAGACCTGTGAAGATCACATGGTCAGGTACACAGAACAATATCCGGACTCATCCTTCACCTTGTGATGTGTGAGAAGCTGGTTTGTTTGTTTTTTAAGAGTCAAGCATGATTATAAAGCATGGACTCCTCTTCCTATTCCTTCCGCTCCTTAAAGCCCCTCACAGAGGTCCACAACAGACAATGACTGTTGTTCCAGCTGGCTCTGGGCCCTAAATCAAGGTGCCCTTTTTCCCATGTCCAGTCCAATTCCATCCTATTTATCAGAAACTTGATTAACTGTCCTAAATTGGCATATTTTACATGCCATTCTCTTGCCCAAATCCTTCAGTGGCTATTAAATAATCCCTACTATTTAGACCAGAGCCTGGCAATCTTTTCTGTAAAGAGCCAGCCACTAAATATTTTTGTTTACATGGGGCTTATGATCTCTGGTGCTACTACTCAGTTTGGCTATTTGGTACAAAAGCAGCCAGAGACAATACAAAAAATAGGTGTATTCCTAAAAATATCTCTGGACACTGAAATTTTAATTTCATGTAATTTTCTGTGTCACAAAATACTCTTCTTTTAATTTTCTTCAACCATTTAAAAATGTAAAGACTATTCTTAGTTCATAGGCCATAAAAAACAGTTAGCAGTCTGGATTTGGCCCACAGATTGTATTGCCAACCCTGGCTTAGACTGGTAGCATTTGCCCAAAGCCTAAAAGAAACAGACAACAAAAATAAGATATTTGATGAATGTGCCTTGTTGTTGTTTTTTTTTGTTGTTGTTGTTGTTTTGTTTAATTAGTCATTCATTCACCATCTCAGAGAGATATTGTCTTTGCTTATGTTTTTCGGATTTGGTATTTTCTCAAAGGGAAAGAAGAAATCAGGTGTTCAGAAATGTGGCAATGCCCTCTTGTGGCTGTTACCTCACTGTCCCAGAAGTAGTGATTCTTGCTTCCTGTAAATTTACCCTCAGCTTCCATGTCACAGGACCGAGCCCTAAATGAAAATGTCCTTGTGAGCAAGTATGTGGGGTTAGTGAATCACTTACCCTACAATATGGCTCCTTCTTCTTTATATCCTCCTGTTGGATTAGCCTCAGGCCCTGGACACCATTCTGGAGGCCTCTCTCATACAGGGCCTGAAGTCTGGGAATTTCTTCTTGTTCAACAGCTACTATAAGCTTTGAAAGAAACCCAAAACCCACAATAAGGAATATAGCAAGTTAAACATATGATCAGCTATAAAAGATAAAGTCAATAAAAATAAATAATCACATGATTCAAATTTGGTTGATTTTTATCTACTTCTTCCTTTCTTCATGACCTCAATTTCTTTCCTTCTCCATTAAAAAATAGTTGTCTTAAGAACACTACATTAGAACAAATTTTACCCAAAAATGAGATGTAGCCTCAATTTCCACTTCTGCTATCATAGTTGCTACATGAATCTTGGCAACAGCAATTGTTACTGCCATCACTCCCTCAATCCCAAAGGGGAAGAGTAACATTGGCAGCATAGTTTTTACAATTAAAAAAAAAAAAAACAAAAACAAAAAACAAAAGCCCAAAACCAACAAAAAACCAGAATGGCTTTATTTCTATAAGAGTATATAAAATATCAATATATCAGAAAGTCAGTGGTATTCAGTATAATGGGATATCACTAACAGAAAACTACCAATTATTTTTCCTGGAATAAAGTATATTATAAACAATTTACTAATGCATTCTATTGCAGAGGAAAAAAAAACAGTAAATTAATCAACTTTACTCAGGATTCTTTTTCTATTTACTTCTGGGCAAACTATCGGTTTGAGGTAGTTTCTTCCTTAACAGCTACTGGCAAAGAAAAGCAACAGATGCATGTTCAAGGTACATTAGAATTCACAAATTGCTACTTTGTAGCAAGAAGTTACCATAATTTCATGAGATAATACTTTTAATCAAGGTTTAAAGGTTATTTAAATCAACAAACAGGGGATCCCTGGGTTGCTCAGCAGTTTAGCGCCGCCTTCAGCCCAGGGTGTGATCCTGGAGACCCGAGATCGAGTCCCACGTTGGGCTCCCTGCAAGAAGCCTGCTTCTCCCTCTGCCTGTGTCTCTGCCTCTCTCTCTCTCTCTGTGTGTCTCTCATGAATAAATAAATAAAGTATTTTTTAAAAATAAATAAATCAACAAATAACTAACCATAAAAATAGAAGTGGAATAAAAGGACACTATCAAGAAAGTGAAAAGACAACCCAAGGAATGGGTGAAAATATTCACAAATTGTATAGCTGATGTCTAATATCCAGAATATATAAAGAACCTTACAATTTAACATAAAAAGTGTAAATACTGTTTTATATCTTGCTTTTTTCACTTAACTCTATATCAGGATCATTATTCCACATTATTTTTAAAAATCTTCATAGCATCTTTAATAGCAACAAGAAATTGTTATTCTTAAAAACTACATGAAGACTTATAAGGCAATATTATGAAAAGTACATAGCAACAAATTAGATAATCTATATGAAATGGAAAAGTTCTTAGAAAAACACAAATTCTGAAACTGACTCAACTAGAAAAAGAAAATCTGAATAGGCCTATAACAAGCAAAGAGACTGAATTAATAACTTTAAAACTTCCCATAAAGAAAAGCTCAGGCCCAAGGGCTTCCTTTACACATGAATGCTGCCAATATGTTTAAAGAAAAATTAGCTCCAATTCTGCATAAACTCTTTCAAAGAACAGAAGAGGGAATACTTCCTACCTAATTCCATGAGGCCAGTAATAGCCTGATACCCAAATCAAACACAGATATCAAAAGAAAATAAATTGCAGACCAATATCCCATATGAATATTGATGCAAAAATCCTGAACACAATACTAGTAAACTAAGTGCAGTGACATATAAAAAAGATTATACGCTGTGACCAAGTGGGATCTATTACAAGAATGTGAGATCAATTTAATATAACATCCAAAAGTCAATTAATGTAATATACCATATTAATAGAATATAAAAACATGATTGTTTCTCAATAGGAGCAGAAAAGGCATTTGAGAAAATCCAATACCCTTTCAATGATAAAAAAAAAACTGTAACAAACTTAGGGCACCTGGCTGGCTCAGTTGGTAGAACATGTGACTCTTGATCCCAGGTTGTGGGTTTGAGCCCCATGCTGGGTATAGAGATTACTTAAAAATCTTGAGAAAAACAAACAAAAAAATTTAGCAAACTAGTAATAGAAAGGAATTTCCTCAATCTGATAAAGGGCATCTACAAAAAACCAACAACTAGCATTATATTAAATAGTGAAAGATTGAATGCTTTCTCCCTAAGATCAGCAACAATACAAGGATGTCCATTTTCACTTCTCCTATTCAACACTGTATCTGTGATTCTACCCGGAAAATTAGGCAAAAAAAAAAAAAAGAAATATATATATATATATATATATATATATATATATATATATATATATATATATATAAAAGAGGCATCCAAACTGAAAAAGAGTAAAACTATCTTATTTGCAGATGACATGATCCTGCATATAAAAAATCCTAAGGAATACACACATACACAAAAAACTATTAGAATGAATTTAGCAAGGTTGTAAGAGAAAGGAATATATAAAAAGCAATCATATTCTATATATTAGCAATGAATAATCTAAAATGAAATTAAGAAAATTAAGAAAACAATTCCCCTCACATGGGCAATACTCCCCAAATTCATCTATAGATTCAGCATGATCTCTATCAAATTTCCACTGTTTTTGTTTTTGCTTTTTGGAAAAACTGACTAACCAACCCTAAAATTCATATAGAAATGCAAGGGACCCAGAATAGCCAAAACAATCCTGGAAAAAGGACAAAGTTGGATGACTCACACTTCCTGATTTCAAAATATAATAAAGAGCCATCGTAATCAAGATACTATGGTACTGGCATAAGGATAGACACACATCAATGGAATGGAATTGAGAATCCTAAACATGCCCTATTACATTGATGCTCAGCTAACTTTTTAAAAGATTTATTTATTCATTTTAAAGAGAGAGAGAGAGTGCATGGAGAGGAAGACCAGAGGGAGAGGGAGACTCAACTAGACTCCTCGCTGAGCGTGGAGCCTGATGTGGGACTCAATCTAATGACCAAGATCACTTCCTGAACTAAAACCAAGAGTCAGACATCTGACTGCACCACTTAAGCGCCCTCAACCAACCTTTAATAAAAGTGCCAAAACAATGTAGAAAAAATAGTTTTTTTTAATAAATGGTGCTGAGACAACTGCCTAGTCACATGCAAAAGAATGAAGCTGAGCCCCTTCTTCACACTATATACCAAAATCAATTTAAAAGTGATCATATACTGGAAGTACGAGTGCAGTGGAGTAGGGGACTCTGCTTCTGATGGCAGGGTCTCGGGAAAGAATAGTAGGCCAGCTATGAAGCTGAAATAGCCAAAGAAGCAGGCTAAGAAAATGAACTAGGAAGATAAAGCACTTAAGCAGAAACAAAAAGAGAAGACATTTGAGGGCTAAAAGTGAAAGCTGCAGAAAAGGATCTTCTGGTCACAGTTGGAATTAAGAAATCTGGCAAAAAATAAGCCAGATTTGATCCCAGGCTTATGAGGCAAAGGTGATCCCTCATTCTAAATTCCTGTTTAAACATCTAGATTACCTACCATATCTGTTGCCACCTACAGCTAGAATAAAGTGTCATCTTGGATCCTGTTGTACATTTAGGAATAAACTTCTGTTAAAAAAAAAATCATATAGTCGCTCATCTTCTCTTTTGTTCTTTTCACTCAGTCGTTTCTACCTCAGCTCTGAGTCAGAGTAAGCCCAGCCCAGACTCCTGCCAATCTACCCTAATTCTGTACCACCTGGAATTAAACCGACTCATGAAGGGAGGGAGAGTGATCATAGATCTAAATGTTAGAGCTAAGGCTATAATAAAACTCTTAGAAGAAAAAATGTATGAGTAATTTTTCAGGTTAGGCAATGATTTCTGAGACACATCACAAAAACTATAAGCAACAAAAGAAAAAAAGATAACTGGGCTTCAAAACTAAAAGCTTCTGTGCCTTAAAATATATCATCAAGAAAGTAAAAAGGAGGGCAGTCCGGGTGGCTCAGCGGTTTAGTGCCACCTTCAGCCCAGGGCCTGATCCTGGAGTCCCAGGATCGAGTCCCACGTCAGGCTCCCTGCATGGAGCCTGCTCCTCCCTCTGCCTGTGTCTCTGCCTCTCTCTCTCTCTCTCTCTCTCTCTGTGTGACTCTCATGAATAAATAAATAAAATCTTAAAAAAAAAAGGAAAAATCTATAGGAGAAAATTTTTAGTATTATTTAAAATATTATTATTATTTTATTTTATACATAAAAATTTAGTATTTTTGTAATGTTTCAGTAAATATCATATAGCTAATGAAAGGCTATATCTAGAATATATGAAAAACACATACAACTCAAGAATAGAGACAAATACCCCAATTTTTATTTTTATTTTTTCAAATACCCCAATTTTTAAATGGACAAAAGATTTGAATAGACATTTTTCCAAAGAAGATAAATGAGTGGCCGATAAGCATAAGAAAAGATGCTCGGCACCATTAATTACTAGGGAAGTGCAAATCAAAACCACATTGACATACCATTTCATATCCACTAGGATGGCTAAAATAAAAGAGACAGACAATAACAGGTTTTGGCCAGGATGTAGAGACACTGGAATCATCATTAGTTGCTCATGGCAATTTATTTTTTAAAGATTTTATTTATTCATTCATGAGAGACAGAGAGAGAGAGAGAGAGAGAGAGAGGCAGAGACATAGGAAGAGGGAGGAGCAGGCTCCCTGTGGGGAGCCTGATGTGGGACTCCATCCCAGGACCCCAAGATCACACCCTGAGCCAGAAGCAGCTGCTCAACCACTGAGCCACCCAAGTGCCCCACTGATGGCAATTTAAAGTAGTGCACAATTTTGAAAAACCGGTTTGCCAGTTCCTAAAAATGTTAAAATTGGAGTTACCAAATGACCCAGGAATTTCACTCCAGGGTATGTACCTGAGAGAAATGAAAACATAAGCCCATGCAAAATTGTACATAAATGTCCACAGTGGCATTATTCATAAGTCAAGTGTGGAAACAACCCAAATGTCTATCAACTGATAAAGAGGTAAACAGAATGTGGTATACCTACACAATGGAATATAAAAAGGAATTCTGATTCATGCCATAAGATGAATGAACCTTGAGAACATTATGTTAAGTAAATGAAGCCAGTCACATAAGACAACATATTGTAGAATTCTATTTATAGGAAATGTCCAGAATAGGCATCCACAGAGACAGAAAGTATATTAGTGGTTGCCAGGAGCTGGGGAGAGGTAGAAATAGGAAGTGGGAAGTATTGGGAACAACCATTAATGGATACAGGGTTTCTTTTCAAGGTGATGATTATGTTCTAAAATTAGAGCTGATACTTGCACACTTTTATGTATATACAAAAAATCGAACTGAACACTTTAATAAAAGGATGAATTATATGGTATATGAATTGTATGTCAATAAATCTATGTTTAAAACTACATGGAGTTAGTCATACCACCTTTTCTAAAGTTATTTCCTAATATTAGATTTTGAAAATTACATAAAGAAAGAAAAGCCAGTTTTTAAAAAAATTCAACACTAAACATCACTACAAAAATGCTAGTTCTAAGTAAGTCAAGGCCCTAGGAAAATGCCTTACCTTGCCACATTGCTTGTAGGAAATTCCCTTTTGCTTACAATACTCATAGATGAGGGCTGCACCTTGTACACACAATTTAGCTTTCAGAGATTCAGGTTTGTAGTAAATGCCACTATGTATGACACCACTGTTATGTCCAGTCTGGTGAACAGCTACCGGACAAGAGAAACAAGGTAAGAGAAACTACACAGTGCGTAGAAAACCTACAAAGTGGAGGAACAAACCTAGTTAAAGCTATTAGAGACCGCATTATTGAAAATTCCGCCTGACTTTGTTCTTACAGGCAGAGCACTGGTAACTTCTAGTAACCATGCCACATTCCCCCCAGCCCATCCTTGACTTCAGTTACAACTCTGGTACACAAACCCACCTCTCACTACAAGTAAACCACTTCAAGCAACCACTATAGTTTTGGGCATTCTGCCCCAGAGCCTTTCCTAACCAGTGAAGATGTGAGGGGAGAAAAGACTATGCCTCAACATCCCTAGGGGTAATCCTCAGACAGTAGAAACACTAGCTGATGGATAAATGTGCACAATCCCTTGAAATGTTTATGTAGCTCCTCAGAGGTCCCAGAGGAATCAAGCTCACAACAGCAACCTTGATAATGTACCCTCCTTGGCTTTTCCTCCATTTCGGTTTACTCTGCACACCCCCTCGCTCCTGCCTCCTAAACAACCTCTCAAATAAAACACCTCAAGTTCTAGTTTGAGGCTCTGCTTTATGAAGAACCCAAACTAGGATACAAACATCAACATTCAACACAAAAGATGTAGAACTGAGACAATGAGCAGGTACTCAGGTTAGGCCCAAAGAGCAACATTGATATTATACATACCTAGATGTTTCTCTTTTTCCAGAACACCAATGGAAAGTGTTGGATGCCGCAGGATGAGTGCTCTGGCAGAGGCAAGGCCCACAATTCCGCCGCCAATAATGACTACGTCAAATGAGCTTTAAGAGAAAGTCACCTTTAAAGCATGTTTACTGTAGATCTCATCAAACTTCGTGTGCACAATTTTCATTATCAGTGGACGATCAAACTATTAATTTGTAATATTAAAATCAAATATTTATTGGGCTTTTTGCTATTGGCTTCTTAACAGAAAAGCCTTTAAGAATTACGGCATTGCTGGGTATTATAACAGCTACATCCAGCAGGCAGGGTAGCTAGTTCCCCAAGCTGCTCTCAATCTCTCCATAGCCCTCTGCCAGGACTGGCTGCATCTGCAATTACTGTATTAAGCATCACACTCTTCTCTACATCTATTCACTTGAAACTCAAGTACAGGGGCACCTGGGTGGCTCAATCTGTGCTGCATCTGATTCTTGGTTTCCGAGGCTCAGGTCATGCTTGTGGGTCATGAGATGAGCCCCTCGCTCAGTAAGGAGCCTGCTTGAGGATTCTTTCTCCTTCCGCCTTTGCTCCTCCCCCTGCTTGTATGCACACACCCTCTCTCTCTTAAATGAATAAATAAAATCTTTAAAAGAAAAAGATTAAGAAGGGCATGTATAGTCTACCAATTCAGCAACAAGAAGCAGAAAAGATTACCTTTAGCACCTACCTCATGGCCAACAAATCTAGTTTGATAGGAATATGGCCAATCTTGCCTTTTCTATACCCCACCTATTTCATCTCCTTCCTGCACTAAATTATTTTGATGCAAATCCTAAACATCATTAAATATTTTAATATGTTATTTCTAAAAAGCCTCTTTAAAGCATGCACACAAACCAATATTCTACATTTTTTAATTTTACTTTTAGTTTTTTGTTGTTTTTTAATCTTAACTGGCTCCACACCCAAAGTGGACCTTGAACCACCCTGAGATCAAAAGTTACATACTCTACCAACTAAACATGAATCTTTGCCATTAATTTAATTTAAATTAAAAATTAAAAATAAAAAAATAAATCTTTACCATCGTATAACACACTCCACTCAAATCAGATAATTGCTTTAGGCCTTGATGGTGGCACAACTTCCTTTGTTCTGTGCTCACTCAAATGCAGGAAAAACAGGTCTTTGGGCTTATATCTTACCCAATTTGGGCCACATCATTGGCTTCCCACTCTTCCTCAGGCCATTCTTTGGATTGTTGAAGATGTTAAAGGATATAATGGTCCCTTTTTTAGTCCCAAATATGGACTCCACCCATCTCAAGTCTTTCTGTAAGGGAAATTCTAACATTCAGAACCTGGATCCCAGGTGCATGACTTCATGTTTTATACTTCCTTGGGAACCTCTGGTGTACTTTTCTTTTATAAATCAATGCTCAGTATTTCTCAACGGATATTCCTCTTATGGCCCTACACGAAAAAACATGCCTACAATGAAAAAAAAAAATCAAGCATGTACTAACTAAACATGACTGAGCAACTACGCTGCTGGGCATCTATCTCAGAAAAATAAAAACCAATGTTCATACAAAAACCTGTACATAAGATGTTCACAGTAGCTTTACTCATAATAGTCCCAAATTATAAATAGTCCAGATGTTCTTCAAATGGTGAATGGTCAAACTGTAATACATCCACGCCATGGAACAATTAGAAGGAATCCACTGTCATTATAGGCAACACCTTGGATGAATCTCAAAGATATTATGCTGTGTGAAAAGAGCCAATCTCAAGGTTATATACTGTGTGCCTCTGCTTATACAACATGCTCAAAATGACAAAATCTTAGAGCTAGAGAATAGATTAGTGGTTGCCAAGGGTTAGGAAGGGTGGAGAGACGGGATGTGAATATAAAGGGATTGGTAATACAAGAGATGTCTTTGTGGCAATGAAACATTTCTTTATTTGTGGTGGCAGTTACACAAATTAACATGATTAAATTGGATAGGATCACACACAAATGAATGCATGTAAAAACCGATGAAATGTGAACAAGGTCTGTGGATTGTGCCAATGTCAATCTCCTAATTTTGATATTGTACTATAGTTAGGTAAGATCCTCTCATTGGGGTAAATTGGCTGAAGGATGCATAAAATCTGGTGGTTTTTTTTTTTCAATTTCCTGTGGCTCTATAATTATTTCTTTTAACAACTATAAACAAAACCATCACTAATCCTACTTCTCTTCCCTTAAGAAAAGCAATCCCAAAATAATTGTCTACGTACCCCCTTCTATGACTCACAAATTCTATGCCACTCTAATCCACTAACTAAACCACTAACACACACAGCAACCAGTCAAATTTGGAAACCTCAACATTTAATCACTCCCTATTCTTAAAAAACCCTTTAAAAGGCTCCCAATGCTCTCAGAATAAAATTCACTATGTGGCTAAAATAAAATCCCTGCTGTGATGCAGCCTCTCTCCAGGGCCATTCCACACCACCTCTGTTCCACTAAGCTCTGGTCACACTCAGCTTGTCCACTTTCTAGTTCTTGAACTAGCCAAGAGCTTTCCAGCTGTAAAGCCTCAGCATAAGCCATTCCCTCTACAGAGAGCAGAGAAAGACAGTGGCTTCTAATGGGATCTCCAAACTTCAAATCACAGGACACTTACTTGTGCAGGCTTTGATTAGCAACTGCACCGCTTCTCACAGGGGCAACTCTATGCAGTGGTTGCCAGGACCTGATGGGTTTAAGAACCGTTTCAGGCCTTTCGAGCAACACCAGGCAGGGATGCCAGCTAATAAACAGTATATTTGATTGCTTGGTGTGGTAGGGCCTTGAATCCTTAAAAGGACCACCTACAGGAGAGACTAGGCTCCGACTCACAATGGAGCCTTTAAGGAGCTTAAGTGACCCATCCAAGAACTGAATAGGAGGTGGAGGGACAGTATTCAAAACCGGAGCTGCTCTGGACCTCTCTACTCCACACCGCCTTACTCTTTTCATCCGGCGCACACACACAACGAATGAATCCTAGAAGGAAACTGCTGGGATCCGAGGTTGGGATCCCAGGCTCCACCGGATCCTGACCTTCTCTCACGCCCGGGAGAGGGAAGCAGAGCAAGGGCAGAGGTCCAGCAAGGGGCGCCTCAAGGAGAAGCAGCAGTAGTAGCACAGGCGACGAGGGCAGGCCAGCGGCTACTCACCGGGTGCTGGCTCTGCGGCCACCCTGGCACAGCGGCCAGGGCCTCCCCTGCGCCGGCCTGCACGCCGCAGAGAAGCCCCCGGGGAAACCCCCGCGGGCCCGGCTGCAGGCACCGCTCAGGTAACGCAGCGCCGGCACCATGGCCTGCGCCCCCTCGCCGGCCCTCCCCGGCCCTCCCCGGCCCTCCCTCGGCCGCCAGAGCCCGCCCCGGAGCCGGACGCGGCAGAGCTCCCGGCGCCGCCTGGCCCCGCCTCCCACTCAAGGGCCAATCACGCGCGCACCTTCGCCCCACGTGGGAGCGGCGCCAGTGGCCAATGAGCGCGCGCGGCGGAGGGCGAAGGGCAGGCCGGCGGCGCCGTGGACGCGGGGCGCGCTCGCTTCCTCCTGCGCTGTGAGTAGAGGAGCTAGGCCCGGAGCGAGGCGGCGGCGGGCTGGTGGCTGCGCTCTGCTCTGCGCTTTCCCTCTCCCGCTGTTGGGCTGGCGGGAAAGCTGGTCCGTCGACTCGCGCGTCCTCAGTCCTCGCCGCCCAGCGTCCTCGGGATTTGGGGAGAAGGCCTGGGCGTGACTGGGGTGACGGGCCCGGCGGCCTCCCCCCGAGTCCGCCAGCTGGAGGCCGGCTGCGGGCCGCGGGCGGAGGCCCACCAGGGGCGGGGCCTGTCCTTCCCTAGCTCGCGGGCGGGACGGAGGCTCTTTGTCACGGCCACGCCGGGCAGCCTGCAGCCTCCCGGACTTGTTTTTGAGTTGCTCCTGGCGGGGTCATTTCTTGGTGCTGTAAACAGCGAGCGTCTAGGAGATCCAGACGGCGCGGTCTTTGCCATCGTTTAACTGTCTGTTTCCTTATCTTAAACGCTGGGTGGAGATGGGGTTTAAATATGCTGTGCGGGGCTGCGGACAGCGCCTCACCTGGACAGCGCCCTTCCACCCGGTTGTCCTACAAGGTGAGGTGAGAGACGTGGGCTACGTAATCCCTAGACGACCTTCTGACCCTAAAGCTATGTGATTCACCGTCACCGTGGCAGTTGAACACCTGTACTCTGTGCTTAGTGGCAGTTTTTGATTTTTAGGATCAGAACAGCTGAACACAGGGGCACCTGGGTGACTCAGTCGTTCAAGCGTCTGCCCTTGGCTCAGGTCATGATCCCGGGGTCCTGGGATCCAGCCCCACATGGGGGCTCCCCGCTCAGCGGGGCCCTGCTTTTCCTTCCCCCTCTCCCTCTGTCTGCAGATCCCCCTGGTTGTGCTCTGTCGGTCAAATAAATACATAAAATTTAAAAATAAAAAAAACCCAGCTGAACAGAACAAAAATAGAATGTTAAAAACTTTATTGCTGGAAGGACTTTGTTTGAATTTGGTTCCAGCCCGTGGTCTGGTTGCTTGTGAATCTCATTTCACCTCTTTGCCTTAGTTCCTCCTCTGTGAACTAGGAGTAATAATGTCCCGCTTATAGGCCTGTTGTGTGGATGGCAGGAGATAAGGCTCATAGGTGTTTAGCACAGTGAAGTACAGTTGACCTTTGAAGACCAAGGATTTGAACACTTAAAAGAGATATTTTTCAATAAGTCCCATACAGTAATACAAATGTATTTTCCTTGTGATTTTAACATTTTCTTTTCTCTAGTTTTTTTTTTTTTTTAAGACTTTATCCATCCCTTCGTGAGAGACACATAGAAAGAGAGACAGAGACATAGGCAGAGGGAGAATCAGGCTTCCTGCGGGGAGCCGGATGAGGGACTCCATCCCAGAACTCCAGGATCACCTGAGCCAAAGGCAGAGGCTCAACCACTGAGCCACCCAGGTGTCCCTCTCTATTTTACTTTATTATAATAATACAGTATATGATACATATAACATGCAAACTAGGTGTTAACTATGTTATTAGGCTTCTAATCAAATGGGAAACTGTGAGTAAATTTGAGAGGTCGGAAGTTATATGCAGATTTTCAATCCCTGGGGTAGGGGGCGGTTTAATCCGTGTGTTTAAGGGTAAACTATATTGGATAAATGACTACTCTTATTATGTTTAAATAATTTTACTTTCTAGACCGTTGAATACTTTATTTATGAACACAAGGTAGAATGTTACCTGCTTTTCCTATTACAAATAAAAAAAGATACGGTTGTTTGTTAAATTCAATTTTTTTTTTTTGTTTTGAGATTACTGTAGAGTCCCACACAGCTATAAGGAACAATAGAGATCCTGGGTATCCTTTACCCATTCTCCTCCAATGATAACATCTTGCAAAATTGTAGTGTAGTATGATAACTAGGAAATTGACATTGACACATTCCATTGATCTTATGCACATTTCCCCAGTTTTACATTTGTGTATTTGGTTCTATGTAGGTTTTTTTTTTTTTTTTAAGGATTTTTTTAAAATTTATCCATGGGAGGCAGAGACATAGGCAGAGGGAAAAGCAGGCTCCTCACAGGGAGCCTGATATGGGACTCCATCCTGGAACCGCAGGATCACACCCTGAGCCAAAGACAGGCCTCCAACCACTGAGCCACCCAGGTGTCCCTGGTTCTACGTAGTTTTTATCACATATGTAGATTGTCGTGTTGCCATCACAGTCAAGCTACAACACCCATCACCACAGGGATTCCTCCTGGTGCCCTTTTATAAATACACTTCATTCCTGCAAGGCACCCCTCCCCAGTCTATCTCCCTTTCTAAAATGTTGCCATTTTGAGCATGTTCTATAAACCAAATTACAAAGTATGTAACTTTTTGGATTAGCTTTTTTTTTTTCACTCAGCATAATCCCTTGAAATCCATCCAGATTGTTGCAAGTCTCAACGGTTTATTCCTTATTGCTGAGTATAGTATTTCAAGGTATGAATATACCACAATAGGTTTAACCGTTCACCCTTTGAATGACAACTGAGTTCTAGTTTTAAGCTATTTGAAATAAAGCTGCTATGAACATCAGTGTACTGCTTCTTGTGTGAACCTGTTTTTATTTACGTGGAATTAATGCCCGAGAGTCCAGTTGCTGGGTCATATAGGATAAGCACATGTTCAGCTTTGTAAAAAATTGCCAGACTGTTTTTACAAAGTGGCTGTGCCTTTATATGTCCTACCAGCAATGTTTGAGTAATCTAGTGTCTCCTTATCACCAGCAATTGGTGTTGTCACTATTTTTTATTTAACCATTCTGATAGGTAGGTAGTGGAGATGGTTATTTTTTTAGTTTGCACAAGATGTAGTGGATTTGTTATTAGGTTAAATACAGAATTATACATTTCTGTGGTCTGTGGTCAGACTTTCATGGGTCACTTGAACCCAAAGTAGTGACTTATTTACCATGTGATTTTAAGTACATGCTGCTTAGTTTAGCAAGGTGAAAAAACAATACACCTGCTCTTTGTATAAATTTTTTTCTGTTATCCCCTTGCCTAGGTTTGACTGTACATTAATTTGTTTCAATTAAGTGATTTCAAATCAAAAGCTCACCTTAGGGATCCCTGGGTGGCGCAGCGGTTTGGCACCTGCCTTTGGCCCAGGGTGCGATCCTGGAGACCCGGGATCGAATCCCACGTCGGGCTCCCGGTGCATGGAGCCTGCTTCTCCCTCTGCCTATGTCTCTGCCTCTCTCTCTCTCTCTCTCTCTCTGACTATCATAAATAAAAATTAAAAAAAAACTCACCTTACATTCATACACCCCATAATGTCTTTAGTATGATATCTGTATTCATGTCCCTACCCTCAGCTGAATAGTCATGTTCATTTTCCATCTGTGTCAGAACCCATAAGGTGTTACTTCAATGAGCCCCCTGTGATGCTGGCCTAGGAATGACTTTGGGGAACTTTGTTTCCAATTCCTCAATTCCTAATGAATTCTTTAGTTCTATTTCACTAGACTTTACATACCTCAGGAATAAGAATTGGCATCAATATTGGGTGATCTGCAGTGAGGTGGGGCTATAATTTGGGGAAAGACTTTCCCAATTCCAATAACACCCCACCCCTCCAAATTTTATTTACCCTCAAAAACTAGCCCCCCCCCTTTTTAAAGGATTTTATTTATTCATGAAAGACAGAGGCAGAGACATAGGCAGAGGGAGAAGCAGGCTCCATGCAGGGAGCCTGATGTGGGACTTGGATTCGGGACTCCAGGATCATGCCCTGAGCCAATGACAGACAGTCAAACCCTGAGCCACACAGGCATCCCCAAAAACTAGTTCTTTAGTTCAGTCTTTTGACCCATTTAGCCATCACTTTGAATAGCCCTGCTAAGTAAAAACAGAACTTCCACTTAAACAAACAAAAACTTACTCTTTTTATGCAAATAGGGGAACTCTCAACCAAACCTACTCAGAAACATTTTGTGTATATACTATTTTGAATTAAACCTTAGAGGTCTGGCCTCCTCTAAGTAACAAGCAAAATTGTAATTTTTAGAAATGTGCTCCAAGCCAGGTTCTGATAGTAATGAAGGAGCTTTTTAAAATGATTTTAGGGGCGGCCCTGGTGGCTCAGCGGTTTAGTGCTGCCTTTGGCCCAGGGCCTGATCCTGGAGTCCCAGGATTGAGTCCCACGTCAGGCTCCCTGCATGGAGCCTGCTTCTCCCTCTGCCTGTGTCTCTGCCTCTCTCTCTTTCTCTGTGTGTCTCATGAATAAATAAAATATTTTAAAAATAAAGTTTAAAAATAATAAAAATGGTTTTAATTTCTCGATTATTTATTGAAAAAATATTTTAGTGGTTATTTTTCTTGCTGTTAACTTTTTTTTTTAATCATTAGAGCTAAATTCACCAACTCACCACTAGAGGTCTCCTCTTTCCTTATAGAAAACATTCCCAGAGGTTGCTGCTTAAATTCATCTGAAATTTCTAAAACCAATTAGCACAGGCACATTTGAGAATGTAAAAACCTACCAATTAATTTTTTTCCTTTGTTGCCAAGGGAAAATTTTCTTAAATTATTTAAAATATAACATCTAATATTTTTAGAGACCATAGTGGGAATAAGTTTAGCCTTTCCTTTAAGCTGAAATATGAGGTAAACAAAAGTAAATCAAGTACTCGATTTTCACAGACCACTCTAATTTACCTGGTTAATAACAGTCTCTCTGATTTTGCCTTTCTCTATGGAAATATATCAACCACTGAAGACTACTAATTAGCAAATATTTATTAAATTTTTGCATTAGGGGATGGAAATGTGCTAGGTGCTATGAAAAATGGAAATGAGTAAGATGTGATCCTTGCTCTCCTTTTTGCTCTGCATACTTTTTTTTTCTGCCTAACTTGAAACCCTTAATTATCCTTTAAGACTCATCTCAAAAGACACCTCCAGTGTGAAGCCTCTTCACTTCCTCCTCTAGGCTTTCACAGAATTTGTTCATACCTCTATTAAGACATATTGCATGCTATTTATTTGTTTATATGTTGTCTATCATACTAGACTGTACATTCTATGAGGACAAGGAACTTTGTCTTTCTCCTCTGTTGTTTTTTTAATCTTACCATTGTATCTCTGGCACTAAGTATAGCAGACATTCAATAAATATTTATTGAGCGAGTGAATGAATGGATGAATGGAGATGGCATTTGAATAAGCTCTTGAAATTCCACGGGATGGGAATGGGGTGTGTGCGTGGGGAAGTAAATAGAACAGCCTAATTGGATGCTGGAAAGCTCAGATAAATGAGATTGGCAGCCAGTGGACTTATCAGAGGTGGGCATAGGTGGAGAGAGATTTAACAAAAAGCTAGGAAGGGCTGAGAACAAGAGAGTGATAGCGGGGAGGTTTTGGGAATGAAGGCAGATGATGGTGGAAAAGAGATGAAGAGGGAAGATGATTCCAGCTTCTGTCCTCAGACTTCATCTCTCACTGTTCTAGAACCTCAACATCTTTGATCACTCCTCGGTTCTAAGGTGGTTCCCACTCAGACCTCTTTCTTGTCTCTTTATTCACCAGTTCTAGTACCATCCAGGACTGAGGAAAAAGCCATGGACTGGTGGGAAGAAGAACTAGGTTCAAGTTTCAATGCTGCTGCCAATTAGCCATGAAACATTGAGGAAGTCCTTTTAAATGTATGCATTTATTAATACCCCACCTTGTTCCAGAAGGGATTTAGAGTGTCAGCAAGTTACTTGATATCAGGGCTTCAGTTTCCTCATCTCTAAATGGTCTAGGAGGTCTAAGTTCATTCCAGTTCTCCCACTTTGTGCTTCTGATTCAAATGATTTGTTGATTACCTCCACTTAGAAGTTCTGCTAACACTTCATATTGAGAATATGAAAAACTGGGGATAGAGGTGGGGGAAACCTACAATTTGCCCTCCTGACACTGATTTGTATTAATGGCATCACCATCCAACTGGTGATGGGACCAGAACTTAATGTCATGATGATACTAGCTATTCTAGCCCTTGCCCCAACATCTCAGTGAGCCATGTGGAATCCACCCTGTAATGTCATTCTCACTCTTTCCCCTACTTGGTCCTTTCCCATGGCCACATGTAGTTGAAACCCTTATTAGCTGTCTTTCTGTTCCGTTCTGTTGACCCTCAATCTTGATGATGTTGCCCAAGTAATACTCTGAAGCATAGCTCTAACAATGCCAGTGCTCTTTGCTAAAACCTCAGTGACTCACAACTACCTGCAGAACAGTCCAGACTCCCTTGCTGATCAGGCAAGATCCTTCCTGAGGTGACTGTGTAAATTGTCTGCCTCCTTTTCTCAGGATCCCCATGTACTAACCAAACTGAACTACAAAGTGCCTTGAACATTTCTGCCTCATCTAATCACCTGATGTACCTTCTGGCATTTTGCCTATTGAAATCATGGTGTGTTCTTATTTTAACTCTTTGAGGGATTTTTCAGGTTCTATCATTTATTTTAACTACCTGGTAACTTGTTTTAGCTCACTTCACTCAGCACTAAATTTTCAGCAACTCAAAGGCAGAAACCACATTTCATTTATTTTTGTTTTCCCCTGACTTAGCACACTACTAGAGAAACTTGAACTGAAATAAATCAGATTAAGACTCAGTTCAGAAATCACTTTCTCAACTCATGGTTATAAATTTTTACAGCTGGAAATCATCTGAGCAAATCATCTTATTTTACAAGTGAGAAAACCAGGGGTCAGTGAGGTGAAGCTACTTGTCCAGTCCTTCCTAGCTGCCCTTGCACAATTCTTTGTTTGCACTATTCTGGTGATACTGTGTGCAGCCTTGGCATAGAAAATTCTGTTTTCGGGGATCCCTGAGTGGCTCAGTGGTTTCGCGCTTGCCTTTGGCCTGGAGTGCGATCCTGGAGTCCGGGGATCCAGTCCCGTGTCAGTCTCCCTGCATGGAGCCTGCTTCTCCCTCTGCCTGTGTCTCTGCCTCTTTCTCTCTCTCTCTCTCTCTTTCTCTATCTCATGATAAATCATGAGATATCTCATGAATAAATAAATAAATCTTAAAAAAATTCTTTTTTCAGGTCTCCTCTCCCTTCCTGGATATAAGCGTCTTAACCTCAACACATTTCTCCCTAGGTGATTTCAGTTTGTCATTTTGATGTTGGAAATGTAGACTGGGAGTAGAGCTGGTTTCAGCAAATATGTAGGTTCACTGCCTGCATGGCCATCTGGTGGCAACACTGCAGGCCTATTCCAGTTGAGGGTTGAAGAGTGAAACTTAACATTAGGCTGGAAGGAACCGTAGGGACTGTCCAATCCAGCCCCTCTTTTCTGTAGAAAAAAAAAAAAACAACAGGAGTGTCTTGCTTAATAACTCTGAGTGAGTGGCAAATGACTCACCAGCTTTGCTGGCACAAGAGCACTGACTTTGAGGTTGTAAAGTAAGTTTACTGTATGTATGGGACTCCGATTGCCAGCTGATGATCTAATATGAATACTATTTTGTGTGTCTAGATCAAATGATGCTGTTTGGAAAAATTTCCCAGCAGTTGTGTGGCTTAAAGAAACTCCCATGGTCATGTGACTGTAGAAACTTCTGGGGCTGGTTGAATGCAGTGTTTAATAAGTAAGTTACTCCAGCTAAAGTGAAGAAACATGGGGATTATTACAGCTAGATGAGTTCCCAGTAGCTAATTGGTTATTTCTTGTATTTCAAATGCTTTTTTGTACAGTGTGTGAGATATGATCCTAATTTGTTTAAAAACAAAACATACATAGAAACATTGAATAAAGACCAGAAAAATAGATTACAAATTATTAACTGACCAGGTTGCAGGATTTCAGTGATTTTTCTTATTTGTCCTTTTGATGCCTTTCAAGTTGTCTAAAATGAAAATATATTATTTTTTGTAACCAGAAAAGCTTACCGAATGTGATTTTAGAATATTCTCTGGCTTCTTAATTAGCCTTTTGAATACTACCAAGGGGACTCAAGTTTTTCAAAAAGCGGGTGGCATGCTTCGAAACACCATTTTGAAACTAATGGAACTAATCTCCTTGTTGCTTAATGTAGCATTAACACCACTAACTAGAGAAAACAGCATATGTAGAAATTAATAAATATCACTTAATGAGATTAATTTGAACAAGGACTCAAAATTATTCCCTTTTATATTTTATCATTAATAAAAACAATAACCAAGTGTGGTCATTCACTCACTACGTAGTTCCTGAGTACCTCCTGGTGTCAAGCACGGTGCTACATATGAATCAATGAAGACTCACATCTGCCTGATAAGCTCATGTAAAAATAATAGGCCTTGACAAGAGTTCACTTGGAAACAAAAACAAGGTAGCAGGAAGAGCCAGCATATGTTGTTTTTTTTTCCCCATGGCTCTCACTAATATACTTATCTCCCTCCTTAGTCATTTGAAAGGAAAAGTTATTGAAGTGCCCTATTTATGTTGATGACTAGAGTTAATCAGCTAGTGGTCACACTAAAAACTGACTACTTTCGTTGTCCTGCCAACAGAGTGGATCACGAACGCATCCGGGATGTGGGACCCGACCGGGCAGCATCTGAGTGGCTGCTGCGCTGCGGCGCCATGGTGCGCTACCACGGCCAGGAGCGGTGGCAGAAGGACTACAACAACCTCCCCACGGGACCTCTGGACAAATACAAGATTCAGGCGATTGATGCCACGGACTCTTGTATCATGAGCATTGGATTTGATCACTTGGGTAATTATCCTGTCATTGCTTATGGGAAATGTAGGTGATTTGCAGTGACATTTTGTTGCAGTGGATTCACTGTTAGAGTCATAAGTGTGTCCTTTTTGCCCTTTCCAGTACAATCCAGTCTTTTTTCCTGTGTGTGACTTTTAAAACTTATATAGAGGTTACAAACACTTTCTTTGCTCTTCTCCCTTCATTAAGCTTGTCTCTACATGCCTTTATTTCGTGTTTATTGGTTTAAAATTCAAGGCCATGTTTATCAAACTATTTTTGTCAAATTTCTGTCATCTGAGAAACCCTCAATAATAATGTAAGAATTATTATACCCATACAGCTTCTGCTTGTATGGGCTTTTTTCCCTCCAATACATGGGCATCTGATTATAGAATGGTCCTGTCCATCAGTACAACCTGTATAGTGAATACCTTGTATGGTTAATAGGGTCACTAATCATCCAAGTCTTACAAGGGACTAAAAGGTTTTCCAGAACATAGGATTTTCAGTCTAAAACCAGAAGAGTCCTGGCCAAACTAGTTATTTTAATAGTAGAGCAGATTCTTAAAATGTACCTTTTATCTCCCAGAGGGCCTACAGCATGTTGAAAAAATAAGACTATGCAAGTGTCATTATATTGAGGATAACTGTTTGGAGAGACTTGGTAAACTTGAAAATTTACAAAAAACCATATTGGAAATGGAAATAATTTCATGTGGGAATATCACAGACAAAGGCATCATGGCTTTATATCACTTAAGGTAAGTGGTCAGTGCTAAAATGGAAACTTAACCATATAGGTTAAAATGAATAATTAGAATTTAAATCAAAACAATTTTTTTTAGTATATGTGCTGCTGAAGTGAGCACAAAACTCTACCCCAATGTGGGGCTCGAACTCACAACCCTGAGATCAAGCATTGCATGCTCTTATCAACTGAGCCAGCCATTTGCTATTATGCTTCCTCTCAATGTTTTAAAGCATTTTCCCCCATATTCTTACAGTAACCTCAGTATCACAGGAAGTTTGAGAAATTTTAAGTTTTTGTTTTTTTATTAATTTCTGTACCCATGTCGAGCTCAAAGCCACAACCCCAAGATCAAGAGTTGCATGCTCTTCCAAATAAGCCAGCCAGGAATTCCCCTCACCTTTTACTTTTAAGCTTATTTCTTTTTAGCAGAGAAATTTTAAACATTAGAACCAAAAGTGGTAGATTATCTCTTACCTTAGTTGAGGCTTTGAGGTGTCATCTTTTAGTAAAGTTCCTTTAAGAACTTCCCTAATTTTTTTTTCCTTTCTAGAGTAAGATTCATTTTTTGTATTTCTCATGCAAAGGATTTCTATGCCATAATACATATACAGTATTTGGAAAGATTCAGCTAGAATTATTGATGTAATTCAGAACGATTAAACTTCCCAAGGTCTGGCTTGGTTCCTAGCATGAATTTCATTTAAAGTAGCACTCTTAAAATGGGTGTTCTAAGAGTCATTTTGAAAGTACAGTGTGATATAAATGCATTCTGTGTGTAATTTTTTCTAAAAGCCATTAACTAGAGTTTATTTTTAATGCTTTAAGAGTAAAGGCCAAAATGAGGTCACATTTTTTTCCTTTTCTTTTTGCAGAAACCTCAAGTATTTGTTGTTAAGTGATCTTCCTGGAGTAAGAGAAAAAGAAAACCTTATCCAAATCTTTAAGACAGCACTGCCTTCTTTGGAACTAAAATTAGACTTGAAGTAAAATAATATTCAATAAGTGTCTTATTTCAATATAAAGTATCATTTGAAATTGTTGGTTCTAAACAGCAATAACGATTTTGTAATCATCCACAGACCGTAAGGATGTCGTATCATGACATTCCAGAAGCAGAGTCCATCATGTAGAAAATAAATATTCAGACATGACTCACTGAAGGTACTAGGTTAGAAGAAAAAAACTTATGCACATTAAGTCATTTTAAGAGAAAATGGAAACCAGGTAGCAGTTTAATTCTAATATATTCCTCATTTTATATACATATCTATATAGATATCTCTTGATGTAGATACTGACATAGAGTTCTTTAATGTGATTTAAATGTGCAACATAAATGTGCCATAAATGGGCATCTGGGTGGCTCAGTAGGTGAAGCATCTGCCTTCTGCTCGGGTCATGATCCCAAGGTCCTGGGATCGAGCCTTGCATGGGGCTCCCTGCTCAGCGGGAGTCTGCTTCTCTCTCTGTCCCCCACACTGCTTGGTCTCTCTCTCTCTCCCCCTCTCTATCTCTCAAATAAATAAAATCTTTTAAAAAAATAAATGTACAAAACAGATATTCTTCATCAGAAATTTATATTACTGTTACCTTTTAAAATTATTGAAGAATGTTACTATACATATAGTATACATATATACTATATGAAAAACTGAAAGCTAAATTTCAGATTCATTGGTGGAGTGAATTATGAAAGGCGGTTGGTAGTTATTGAACTATTCATAATGCTTCCCAGGATTTGCATGCATTTCTCATGACCCTCATTCCTGTGTTCTTTATAACATGCACCTTTCTCTGAATGAATACCCTCTGCCTAATATGTCTATTTTGTAAGCTTACTCTGAGGTTTTATTAAAACTAGACATGAAGGGGATCCCTGGGTGGCGCAGCAGTTTGGTGCCTGCCTTTGGCCCAGGGCACAATCCTGGAGACCCAGGATCGAATCCCACGTCGGGCTCCCAGTACATGGAGCCTGCTTCTCTCTCTGCCTATGTCTCTGCTTCTCTCTCTCTCTCTGTATGACTATCATAAATAAAAAAATAATAATAAAAAAAATTAAAACTAGACATGAAGACTTGACTGAATTCAAATAGTTTTGCTGACTGCAATAGAACAGAGGAAATGATCATGAAGACCAACACAGTTATACTTATGTTTTGCTTAAATTAAAATATTGCTTTGAATAGAGAATCTTAATTAGAAACTAATTTTTATTCCCCATATTTTGGATACTGCTTCCTATGAGCTCAGGGACATCAAAAAGAAGTGTAAGCACAAAATTCAATTTATATCTAGAAAGCAATGACGAAGAATATCATAAATAGATAAAAACAGATCTTTATTTTTACCTGCTTGAAATGGCCCTGGTTCTTTTACTGTTAACTAGTAGATTTCTGTATGTTTGGTTTGAACATTCAGCTCTTGACTTGACAGGAAATAATTTTAAAATAAACACTGTATGATGCAGCCTTCGGATAGAAAAATGAATTTCAGTTGTGTTTAGAAGAGAGGCTTACGTAAATAGCACATACCATAAATGATATACCATCTACAAATAAAATTGCCACTGTCAATTATAAAGGCAGAAAACAGTAAATTAAAAAAAAAAAGACTAGGATATAGACCAGTGCCATGTGAAACAGTGGTGATTCCATGCTGAACGAAGGGTTACAGCTACAGTTAAATCAAGCATTAGTACACATTTAATACAACTCATTAGAAAAAAATGAACGCTTCCATCTCCAATTTGTTTGATTTTTGTGTGGTGAGGCAACTGATTCACTACAATTTATTCTGGAACTACTTTTATATTCTGAATGGTTTTCTATAGAACTACTGAATGAATTAGGCAGTTACAGTCATCTGCCTCGTCAAGTGCATTGTTTGGGTTAAAAAGGAAAAGAGAAAATGTAAACTAGTCACAGAAGTGGGATGGCCTTCCTTGTCATTTGAATCCAAGCCCCATGAGAAGAATTAGATGATGCTGGGACTAGTCTTTAACCCATTGTCAGCTCTTTGCAAGAAGCTACATACATCAGAAGCCTTAGGATATTAAACTGGCTGGAGTAGCCAAAATGATTGAGCAGATGCCGAAGTTTGATGAATTACTCAGCAGTAACTGAATAAAGTCAAATGCTGTCATGAAGGAAGTTACTGTAGCAGTAAACTAGTAAGAACACAGAAGCAATGTTTTGAAGATAAAGTAAAATACACTCCCAAAACCACGGCTGGGAACCAGTAAGGGAACAGCAGTAGCACATCAACCAAAACTGGCAATGAGCTTACAAGAAACAGACGTGAGCTTCATGTTGCCCTTGTGTTCAAGGGACGAGGGTGAAAAGCTTTTGAAATAGGAGCGGTAGAGTAAGTCAAAGTTAATTATATGTCATCATTTTAAGTACCACGATACAAAACTAGGAATTTTGGACTACTTGTTATCAGTTCTTAGCATAGTATAAATATGTGCATACACGTATGTAGGTATGTATACTATACATACATATAGTACAAAGGTGTATTTCAGGGAAAATACCAGTTTACAACCTAACATCTTTCATGATCCAAGTAAAAACTCATAAGCAATTTCTTCCAGAACCCAGAACACTATAGTCCTGCCTCTAGATCTGTCTCTCAAGTCGGCGACTGAGCTGGAGAGAATGAAGAACTAATTACTTTCAGGCTGATAGGCTCAGTTCCCATTAAGTCTGTAAATCTTGTTCTACCCACTGACTGCCTTGGTCAGCTGCCAGGCTTCACACCATGGTTTGCAGGGGGAATTGGGTCACCTGTAGATGGGTTATGTAAACCCATCTTGCCTGCAAAAATGACTAAGATGCATCCTTTACTACAAGGTAAAGATAAAAGCATATGTAAAAATGCCTGCAAACATTAAAAACATAAGCAAATAGATTTTGTTATGACAATCCATGATTTTAAGTATTTTGAACAACTCTTAAATATTCCAAAAATGTTTTAAACTATGAAAATTAAGAGAGCGAGCAGAAAATAGAATTTTAAGCATTTTGATTTCAGGAACTAAAACTCTTCTTGAATATGATGACAGTCTGAAAAGGCAGGGGATAGGACTCAAGGCAAAAGCACTACAAGAAAAATACATATGGGTGTTTTGTAATTCATTAACATTGTGAATGTTTTCAAGCAAATGTACAGGTTTTGTTTTCTTCAAATTACTGATGAATTCCTTTTTCGTCTTCCATCTCCAAGCTCCTTAAATGTTTGGAAAATGGTAGTTAAGTTTCTTCATATTCCAGTAGTACTTCTTATTATCCAGAGCTGGAAGGAAGCCACTGCTAGTTAGCTGAGGTAGGCACTGCAACTGCAATTACAAAACACAGGATTAGGTTCAATGCCATGCACACTTTTCGCTATTGAGAACATCTCACAAAAAGGTAAATTAGTCCGTTTTTCAGCACAAAAATACTTTTTCTGTACAGAATCCAGGACCTAAGGGAGGACAAAATGTTTACATTTGTTCTTTTTCCTTTTAAAGATTTATTTTGTTAAAAGATTGTATTTATTTGTTCATGGGAGACAGAGAGAGGCAGAAACATAGGCAGAGGGAGAAGCAGGCTCCCGTGGAGAGCCCAATGTGGGACTGACCCCAGGACCCTGGGATCATGCCCTGAACTGAAAGCAGATGCTTAACCACTGAGCCACCCAGGTGTCCCTTAAAAATTTGTTTTATATTAAGCAAGACATGCACATTCAAGAAAATTTAGAGAATATGAAAAAGAAGGAAAAATTGACGTGAACATTATTGGAAAAAAGACCTAGATTTACAGGAGGTAAGAGCCTGCTGGGACCTGAGGGATCATTTAAAGCAATGCTTGGTCTGAGAAGCAAAGAAAACTGATGCCTGGAGCACTTCAGCAATTTGCCCCCTTTCCCTTTAGTTAAAAAGGCAAAACTGTTCCCTCCAAGCTCCCAGAAAATGTTTGAATTTATTGTCAGTGTCAAATGAAAGTAAGGAGAACATAAATATAATTATACTACATGGCCTTAGGTATCTGAAAAGCAGTTACTTTTTAGCATTTCAAACAGTTGTATCCTTCCAGTCCTATATGCAAGACATCAACTAGTGGGTTTCCCTTCTTTCAAGTAGAAATATTCCCACCAAGACCCTTTACTCTTGAACACAAAGGAACAGCAAGCTAAGTGGTAACTCTGGGGTTGTGGGCCATTGTCTATTCTGGCCTGTATTGCTACCTGGGTCATACATGACAGAGGATAAAACAAAGCTTTCTTAATTTTGTAACTCAGGTCTATCTTAGGACCCCACAGTTCATGCTGCCCCTGATCCGTCAGATTGTCCATCCTCTTCTTTCCTCCAAACTTCACATACATACCCCCAGATGCCATTCAGCACGCTGTGTGTGTGTGGGGGGGGGGGGGCTGCCAAGGGAAAAATCATTTATAGAGGAAGGGCTACCTAAGCAGATCCAGAAGGGACCAGGAGTAGCCAACTCATCTCAGTCCATTCTCAATTACTACAGCTATGGGCTTACAACAGGACACCGAATGTAAGGCTATTTTGCGGACTTCATCCCAGTCCCGTTTCTCCACGGGCTGCCGTGGGCAGCGTGGATGCTCTCCTGTAAGATAGGCTGTCCTGCTGATATCACCGAGAGCACTGCTCGCCGCACCTGCCTAGCCAAGGCTGACGATTAGAAGACTGGGGGCGGGGGATCCCTGGGTGGCACAGCGGTTTGGCGCCTGCCTTTGGCCCAGGGCGCGATCCTGGAGACCCGGGATCGAGTCCCACGTCGGGCTCCCGATGCATGGAGCCTGCTTCTCCCTCTGCCTGTGTCTCTGCGCCTCTCTCTCTCTCTCTCTCTCTCTCTCTGTGACTATCATAAATAAAAAAAAAATAAAAAACAAAAAAAAATAAAAAATATATATATAAAAAAAGAAGACTGGGGGCGAAACGGTCCCATTTGGGGATGACCCTAGGAGGTCGGTCAACACTGAAAGTAACGTGATGACAGCGAGCTGCCGGGGACAAATCGGATTTCATTCTCCAAAGGACAAAGAGCACGCTCAGCGGGACTCGCGCCCGTGGACCTGCCTGAGACCTGTGCTCACGCCCCGGCCGCTCTGAGCGGCTCCGAGCCGCAGGGCAAGGGCGCCTTCGGGACCAGGGACACGGGCCTCAGAGGCAGGTGCGTCTGGCGCCCTTTGTCCTGGTGCTGGGACGGGGGTGCTGGAGCTGCAAGCCGCCGCCGCCACCTCAAGGAGAGGTGCAGACTGCACCAGGTGGCCGGCGTGAGACCACTCGAAACAGCAGCCCGGGGGCTTCTGCAAAGCAGTGCCCCACTTTTACCCCAGGCAGGTGCTTTCGGCTCTGTCGTAGGGTCTTCCTTGTGGGTCTGTCAAGTTCTTTGGCCGAATCCCCCGTTTCTCTCATGCTGTCAAAATACGGGTGCTGCAACAGCTGTTCACACGTCAGCCTCTCAGCAGGATTCATGTGGAGACAGCCCTGAAAGGACAGAGGAAGTCCCCATTCTTACTTCTTTAAATTGTATTAACTTATTCAGATCGTTTTTCTTCTTCTTTGACAGATCAAGCCCTTCAGGTGGGAACAGGAAGGGGGAAAAGTAGGAAAAACACACCAATTATGATTTCAGTTCCTCCCACAAATATTCCTAAATGGGTAACCACACAATAAGTAAATAGTTTCTAGAAATGGTAACAAAAAATCCTTTTCCCCAGGAGGCAGTTCTGTTGTGGAGGCAGTTGGTGCTCTGCCCTGAGGGAGTAGGAGATGATTTTTGAGCTTGTCTCAGCATCCAACTGGAATAATCCACTTAACCAGTTTGGTCCCTTGTACATACTTTGTAAAAATTAGGGTGGTTGTTGTTGTTTTTTTTAATTAGGGTTTTTATTTTTAAAAATAATACCTACATGTGGTAAAAATAAAATTCATACAGAACACAGCAAAGCCTCCTCACCACTCTAGTTCTTCCCGTTCCCCCTTCTAGATTCAGTTACTCCTTTTTCTCTGGTATATTCTTCAGAAATAGCCTATGCATTACAGGATAAATATGCATGCGTGGAATGAGAGGCATAATATACATGCCTTTATATTACATCATTCTTAACCATTTGCTTTGTCATTAAGTAGGCCGTAGGGCTCATACTTGGATAGATTAAATCTCACAATTACATACCCCAAGGAACTGTCTCAATTCTTAAAATTATATTATAAAGGCATTGGTAAATATACAGTTTGAAACGGATGGAACATGGATTGTAATTTGCACGTGTTTTACTTGGTACTCGACTTTACATAAGAGCTATATATATCTGAAAATCGCAGTTTTAAAATCAAAACCAACTTCAAATATACTAGGGGGGTTGGCTATTTAAATGGATCCTATGGCTCAACAGTTTTTGAAGAAAAGGATCCCTTGGTAAATAAAGCAAGTACTACCCTCTGAAATTTCTATTTTCTGCAAACTTAGACTTCAAATACAGAGCGTTGGGTTTATTTAAAATGGAAAACGCCTACAGATGTTTTCCTTATAACTGAATGTGAACAAAAATTGAAAGTCCACTTTTCAAAGGAGAAGGAGAATTCTAAAAGGAACACTTTTCCATTAGTGGAAACTGACATAAATCATTCAGACTCCCCAGTGACACCAGCTACTGTGTGCTTCCTGGTCTGTTAGAAGCTATGATTTTACCTTCAAGAGCCCGAGGGCAGGATAAGAGATGTTTGGAAATTTTAATTCAAGTGGTTCCTGTTTTAAAAAGAAGAAAAGAAAAGGGGTTTTATTTACAGTATGTGTTCAAAGATAAGGTGACCTCAGACTGAATGTCTTCTGAGTGAGAGAAGCATCTTCCTGGCACAACCTTTCTTGCCTCCTCCACCCTCTGCCCACCTACCTCCCAGCTGAAACAACCTCCTATGCCTGTTTCACAAGCTCCTTCTCTCCCACCTCCAAATTTCTCTTCTAATGTTCCTCCTCACCGCTCCCTTCACTTCCTGGAGAACTGACGCAGGTAGCAAATTATGATAGAACATTAATGAAAGAAGGAAATTCACTTTGTGTAGCAACTGTTATTTCCTTTATTCTGCCTCCATTTATGTAACTTGCCTTTCCTCAGAATAATTTTTGGTGTTTATATTGGCATTTAAGAGAGCTCCTAATTTTTGCATTTATTGACAGTTACATAAAGGAAGCTTCAAAATAGATTTTTTTTCCCTACTTAGGTGAACAGATGCTTCTAGGTTTTTCTGGAATAAACACTATTTCCTCCTCCCACAAGAGCCTGCTGTTTCCCTGTTCATCCTACTGTTTTTAAAAGAGTCTCCAGGGCAGACATTTGTCAATTTCCCTTTGGCCATATAAGGCTATTTTGCTCCAGTCACATGCTGGAGACAATCAGGAATCACAAGCACTATAAAGCAGGAGGAATGCTCAATGTCAGGCAGATGGACAGGCCAGTTAAAGAGATATGCCACTAACAGAGGCTAATTAAGGAGGGCAGCTGGAGTGCACTGTATGTAAAAGAGATGGCAGTTGTGAGTCCTGGCCAGAGTAACTGGCCAGGCTCATCTAACGAAATATGACTCTGGGTGCTATGCACAGAGTTATTCTGCACAGGGAACCAGCCCCCAACAACCAAATTCCGAGGGTGCACTTACTAATCACTGATGAGGGTAAGAGCTAAGAGCCTCTGTTTTGGAGCTCCCTAAGATCACCAGGAAAAAAAATCCTACAGCAGATTTGTATGAGAACCTTGAGAGTAGCCTTCTCCTCCAACCCCCACCCCCCTATCTTACATACTTCTCTTGCTATTTCTGTGTTAAATCTGAGCACTGCTGGGGGATTGACATGACACTGCTGACACTGCGCTCTGCTGTCTCAGCAACAAGGCCTGGGATGAGGCCGGCTGGTTGGCTGTGATATGAGGCCATCCTGCCTGCTTAGCTGGTTTCCCGGTGCCAGAAGCCAGCAGGCCTCCCTCTAGCAGGGTGAGCGACCGGCAGAGGGCCTCAGGCACAGATGTTGAACGCGGGCAGCCCCCGCACTGCTTCTTCCTGTGTTTCTGTCAACAGGAAATCCCCTGCAGGACAACCTCTGGGAAACCTTGGGAAGCTTTTTACATGGATGAAGCCTGGGTTGTTTCGGAGTCTTCACTGGTAGACGAGAGAACAGGAAATCACTAAGGGATATTTAGTGTGGAAATGGGAATGTCCAGGTCACAAGGGAGCCAGCTGGGTCACCTCCCATATGCCAGGTGTCATTCCTGCCTCTCTGGCCCAGCATACTCCCAGCATGACCCACTTTTCCTATTCCTAGTGGTGTAGGGGAAGGAGGCAGTGGGGAGGGTGAAAGCCTCCAACTGTGGGACAAGCCAAGAGGCTGAGCGAACAGAGAGCTTGAATGGAACTTGACAGAACTTCCATCTGGAAACTGAGCAATCGGAGGCTTAGTTTCAATTCAAAAGTACCCTCCTTAGACAGTAGAAACTCATGACTTCACAAATCTTAATTATGTTCTGAAATATTTTTGATTATAATACAGCCTCATTCGAAGACATTCAAAAAATATTTTAAAAACATAAGGAAAGAAAGAAAACACACCACCACAAAGAGATACCCAGTGTTAATATTTTGGTCTATATCCTGGCAACCATGTATTTCACAAATGTTAAAAGCTTTGCATGATTTTCCAGAAGTTGCCATGTTATTATTTTATTTATATATGTAAATACATGTATACATGAATTGTGTATTTATCAAACATTTGTTAATATGTTGTCAAATTATATATACTGTTTTATAGCCTTTTTTTTTAACTTAACAATACATTGGGAACTTTTTTTTCAGATGAATACAAATAAATCTAATTATTTGTACTGGCTATGTGGTATTTCTATTGTAAGAATATACCATAACTTACTTAATGAATCCCCTGCTGATGGAACACTAAAGGAAATAATTTCTATTGAAGAATACCACATATTTATGCCCCTAATGGTTTCACTGCAATAAATTCTTGAAAGTGGGTTAAGAGAATGCACATTTTAAATTTTTTAGTTTTAAAAAAATTGAGTGTTTTCTCATAAAGACATAATGTGTCTCATAGAGGACAGGTACCCAAATGAGGCTGCCCATGAAAGTTCATCACTGTTTCCTGTCATGGTGTGGGCAGTAAGAGCACAGTGGAGTGGGGCACTTGGGCAATGCTGGATTTTCCTGGAGAAGTCATTGTGTGAGCTACCTTGCTTCAACTGCTGGAAATGATGAAGAACAAAGGAGGTTAGAGCAAGCAGGTCTGCATTTCTGCATTTCTGTCCCACATGCTGGCTAGCCTCTGCTATCAGCAATTTCTTCTTCTTCTTCTTCTTCTTCTTCTTTTTTTTTTAATTTATTCATTCATGAGAGACACACAGAGAGAGGCAGACATGCAGATGCAGGGCTCGATTCCAGGACCCCGGGATCATGAACTGAGCCAAAGGCAGACATGCTCAACCACTGAGCCACCCAGGTGCCTCTGCTATCAGCAACTTCTATATTCTCACTGGAGGCAATGGTCTTTGAGCCAATTTGCCCCACCATTCTTTCTCACTCTGAGACTGACCTTCCAAGGCAGAGTGGGCCATGGGGCTCAGGCCAGTGAATAACTACCAAAGCCTAGCTAGCCCTGCAACTCCCCAGGTAACGAGAATGGTCACCACTTAGACACCCTGGTAACCTTGGCCCCAACAGGTAGAGCTCTTTCCCAAGTGGGTCACTCACCATATCTTCAGGGTCTGGAATTTTCACCCCACTGAAGTACTGATTCATGCTAAATACTTGTTGGTGCCTAGGAATGAGATCTCCTTCGGACAAGAAGAAAGAGGCGGGTAAAGTGAGATCAGTTAGCAAGTGCAGACCTATGGTTCCCCTCCATCGGTGCTGTTTCTGTATCTACAACCAATTAAGGCTGTAGTCTGCCCTTCCAGGCAGACGGAGGCACTGAGGCAGCCCCCCACAGCATGTGCTGAGACCTCAGGGGACTGAGCACTGTGTCAGGTGGACAGGAGGCAGCATGCATGGACATTGGAGGCAAAAGCTTCTTGCCCTTCAGGGAATCACAGGGTATTTGAGGATTCCAAATGGCTCAGAGGCACATATACACACACACACAAAGAAAATAATGCCTGTTTAAAAAAATAGCGAAAATGCAACAACTACAAAGCAAAATCGTATTAATTGAATTTGGATGGATCTATATGAAAGTGTTTTGGCCTAGCACTTAGAATGGTGCCTATCAATAAATGAGGAAAGAAGTGGGGTAAAGAAGAAGAGAGGAAGGAAGGAAGGAAGGAAGGAAGGAAGGAAGGAAGGAAGGATGAAAGGAGAGAAGGAGGAGGGATGGAGGGATAGAGGGAGAAGGAGGGTAGGAGGGAGGGAAGGAAGGAAGGAAAGAAGGAAGGAAGGAAGGAAGGAAGGAAGGAAGGAAGGAAGGAAGGAAGGAAGGAAGGAAGGTCACTCAGTCAGTCATGGAAGATCTAGCTAGAAGGAATACATTTCCAAATTGGAACCACCTTTTCTTGTTTCATCAGAAAAGCTGATGCGCTTTCACTTGGAAATCCCATTTTATCTGCTTAGAAACTAGTTACAATTTGATTCAATGAAACAAAATAGGGATTCCTATATTCTGGGGGATTATGTGAGGCTCACCTTTCAGCCAAATCAGCTAAAATCACCCTTGTGTAAAATTCTAGAGGTATTACACCTGAAGAGCAATTTTGTTCAGAGAATAAGGCACACCCAGACACTCTTGACAAAACAAAGTGAACAACCAAAACCTCCCAACCAGAGCCCTGGAAATGCTGTGACTGGACTGGAGTACCTATCCCAGGATATCAAATTGCCTAATTTTACTGATTGGTTTTGGAACTATATCTTTCACTGAAATCTAAAAGCTGCTGTCTTGCTCTATTTTGTACAAGCGGCCAAAATATACTCTCTCCTGCCTTGCCCTTGATCTCAGTGAGCTTCATCATGAGCACACTGCTTGTACCTTAATAACTTTCTTCCATCAGGGACACCTTGGTGGCTTAGTGGTTGAGCATCTGCCTTTGGTTCAGGGCATGATCCCAGAGTCCTGGGATCGAGTCCCACATCGGGCTCCCTGCAGGGAGCCTGCTTATCCCTCTACCTAAAGTTTCTGCCTCTCTCTTTCTGTCTCTCATGAATAAATAAATAAAATCTTAAAAAAACAAAACACACAACTTTCTTCTACCAGAGTGCTGGAAGCGGGGACATGAAGAAGGTGCCCTAAAATCATTGGCGGAAACAGCAAAGGAATGCTGATTGCACCTGGAAGTGTTCCAAGGTGCCTTACAGGTCACTTAAAAAACCTGTCAGCAAAGACTTACAGCTTACTGTGTGCAGACACTGATGGAGGATGTATAGAAAGTAAGACATTAGCTCATCCTCAGGTAGCTGACAGGATCTTTGGGAGATAAAAGCACAAGACAAGACAGGGTGAGGGCAGGTGCTGCAAGAGCTTAGAGGAGGAAGTTTGCTTTAAACTGGGGAGTAGTAACTTAACTCCCCTTTTTTAGGCTTTTTTTTTTTTTTTGAGAGAGAGAGAGAGAGAGAGAGAGAGAATAGGACCGCAAGCACAGGAGCAAGGGGAGGGGGAGGGGCAGAGGGAAAGGGAGAAGCAGACTCCCCACTGAGCAAGGGGCCCAATGTGGAGCTTACTCCAGGACCCGGGGATCATGACCTGATCCAAAGGCAGATGCTTAACCAACTGAACCACTTAGGTGTCCCTAAACTCCCTGACTTTTGAAGGGAGCAGTCACTGCTTATATATACATCTTTTCATCGATCCCTCTCCAAGTCTCTCTTCTCCTCTTCCCTCCCCCATCATATGGCAAGAATAGAAAGACAATAGTTGACACCAGAAGATCCAGCCTTTCTTCCTGACACATAGAAGGTTTTAGAATCTTCTTCTATAGCATCTGAATGATGCAATGTAGCCTGGCAGGCTAGTGGGAAGGATCTCCAAAGAATGAACTACTATATCATAACAAATGAAATACAACACAGTTGCATTCTGTAAACTGCTAAGCCCTTACAGAAATGTAAGCTTTTACTGTTGCTACGATTATTATTCAGAGTTTAACTTGATCCAAACTATACTGAAGAGAGAACCTTGTGTCCTTTTGGACAATTAGTATGAACTCACAATCGTTAAAATTCTTTTTATTAAAACAAATGTGAACACTTTTTAAAAGTAATCTCTATGCCCAACTCCAGGCTCAAATTCACAACCCTGAGATCAAGAGTCATGTGTTCTACAGACTGAGCCAGTAAGGTGCCCCCAAAGGTGGACACCTTTAATGAAATTATTTAAGTAAGGCTCCTAGAGTACCCCTCCTTCGTAACTGTAAATAGCATTGAATGAGACTGGGAACTTGGCTCTGTTCTATATCGACATGGGTAAAACTATTCAGTTTCCCAAAAGGCATGACAAAAACACTACTTACCCAAGGTTTTCCGAATCAGATAGAGCTGATCCACATCTGATTTTCCTGGCCACAGAGGTACCCCTGACAGCAGCTCAGCAAAGACACAGCCAATTGCCCAAACATCTACTGGGGGGCCATACTGTGTGTCCCCCACCAATAGTTCTGGGGAGCGGTACCACCTAGTAGCCACGTAGTCTGTGTAGTAGTCACTGGGTCCAGCTGGCCAGTGATGGCACATGGAAAATAGAACAACGGAAGACTGGAATCAAAACTGAGAGTGGGGGAAGACCTAAGAAATCAAGCTTGTGTCCCATCTTATGGCTTTTCTAAATCAATGGTTTCTCAATACTGGTTGCACATCAAAATCAATTGGAATACAGTATTTGTTAAATTACTAATGCTTGGGCCCCTTTCAGCCCAGTGAAACAAGAAATTTTGGGGGAGAGTCTGGGGAGGTATCAGTATAGTTTTTATAGTTACAGCTTATAGTTTCCCCAGTTGATTCTAATCCGCAGCCAAAGTTGAAAACCACTCTTCAAAAATAGTACTTCTGAGAAGTGCTATCTTAGTGAAAAAAAAAAAAAAAAAAGAAAGAAAGGTAGAAACCAGGAGAATAATATACTTTTTAATAACCACTTTCCTGTGGTATAATTTACATATAGCATACATTTTTAAAACACTATATGTATCTACATATTTTCAGTAATTACAAATTGTAATTTAGGGCAAGCTCAAGCCCAAAATATATAAAAAGTAGCATTCTATAGCATCTAGAGCCTTTCTCATATAAAGAATCTTTCTGTCTTTTACAATTACTTAAGGAAACATCAACACTTACTCAAAAGTCGGGCAAATCCAAAGTCACAAAGCTTAATCACTGAATGTTTTGTGATGAGGATATTTTCTGGCTTCACATCTCTATGTATGCACTAGTCATAAAAATCAAAACAAAAACAGATTATCAAGGAGCAACTATAATATACGGGATTATGAACTCATGAATATTTCGCAGACATTTGAGAAATCATTAAAACCTCTTACTGGTCTTTTGGATAAAAGTTTTTTGGCTATTTTTGCTATTTTGCAGCCTAAAATTAATCTAGTACCATATTCATTATGGCCCGAATCATCCCAAATTCCTAAAGGGCCCAAAAAGGACCAAAAAGGAAGAATGGAAAAAAATGAAAGTAGGGTAGCCTGATAAACAAGTAAGGTTTTAGTATAAGTATACCCCCATGAAGTTTTCGTGACATGTTTATACCAAAAAATTATGATGGTTTATCTGAAATTCAGATTTAACTGGTGCTTGCTTGTACGAACTCTGGTAACCCTAGATGAAAGGGAAAATGTGAAAGACTCTGGGCGAGGCCTGCATCATGGCTGCAGGAGCTGCAAGTTGATGCATAAGCAGAATTCACAGATCAGTTGTTTAAGTGAGAACAGAACACGGTCCGCCTGGTAAACAGGACAAGCCCTGGGTCTGCTGAGATAAGCTAGGGAAGAGAAGGGCGGGAACCAGGAGCTTGCCAAGAGACCTCCCTTCCAGCTCTTGACATTCGTCTTGACAAGATAAACAGAGTAGGCAGCGCTTAACCTCTGGGGAGAGTCGCTAGATGTCAGCTCTGTCCCACACACAAGTGTTCTTAGAACTACATCCACCCCCGCGGGATGTGGCCCCCATTCCATAATTTAGACTCCAGTCACCTGTGGTTTCCAAACCACAGCTGACATTGTTTAACAGGCTAATGTTAGAAGAAAGTTTATGACTCTTCACATGATTTTCTTATTAAATAACAATTCTCTTGGCAAAGAACAAATCAACAACCTAATTAAAGATTACATAAAAACAACATTTGGGTCAAAATCCTGTTCAGGGTTCCTAATACTCCTTCTTCCAAGCGTTTTCCTCTCTGGAGAAGAATGTTGGATCCTGCTGGAATCTGAGAGACCCTCTTCAGCTTGTAGCTAAAACCCTGGGGTATTCTTGACTTTCTAGAATTTGGAGAGAGGACAGAGGTTCTTCTTGGGCTTGGCCTACTTCTCCCTCCAAAGGACTTCCAGGGTGGGAGATCAGTGACAGTGTTTCCCCATGAGTATTACTCTGGAAAATTTGGGGGAGAGACAATTTCTGAATTATTTTTTTTACTATCTATCTGGTTCTCAGCAATTAATGGCTCTGAGATCGCCATTCTTTTACCACTGGCTTCACATACTACTATAAACGGGTACACCCATGAATATCACGATGACAGATGGTCAGAAGTACTTGCAAGCTAGAATGTGTTCCAATTCTGTTCTGAGGATTCTACACAGGTTTCTGCATCCTCCCCATCAGTACATGTGGCTGACCAGAGCTTCAGGGACTCTCCAGGAACGGTGAGTGGTATGTGTTGTATCTGATTTTCTTCACCAGGGCCTTTATGAGGTCTCTCTTGCTCCTGCATCCTAAAACCTGCTTTCAGGAAAGTGCTAACCTTCACTTGCTATAAATAGCAATGTAAGGTGTCCACATTCCCTAGAATCCATGCATTTTGACCAGGATGGTAGCCTTCAGCTAGGTTGAGGCTCACTAGGGAGAAGTGCTGGCTACTTTCATATTTTCTACTTCTCAGGAGGCAGCTTCAGGAAAAAATCATTTAGAACAGCCCAGGGCAGGGGATTTAGCCCCACCAGCTAAATTGACCCTGGCAGTAGATAAGATGACACACTGCAGGCAAGCTGCCCTGGTGGCCAAAATGAAGCTCTAATATTGGAATCTAGCTTCTGTGTGCAGGGAGTGGGCAGTGTCGTACTGGAGGGAGCAGCCACCTTCCCAGTATCTGTGGCAACTCATCTCATGGGTAGCAGCTTGCTGTGCCTCCTACCCAGCCTCGCTATAGCCAGGAGTATCAGAGGTATCCACTGGGCTGCTTTGCTCCAGACATGGTGCTCATATCTCACCAACACAGACACTAACATTTGAGCATAGTGCTTGGGACTATACCTACTGCAACTCAAAAGGCATGAGCCACCTGGGGTTCCCCCTCCCCAATTCCAGAGCATCTTGACGGTCCCAGACCAATACAGAATTCAAGCAAATGGGATTCTACTTTAAATCTGAGTAGTTGCTCATCAGTATAAATCTGTAACTTCTTCCTTAAAATCATAAAAACACATCTTTTATGTAACCTGAACAAGAATGGCTAGATTGGTATTTTTAGCCTCTACTGACCACAACCAGGCTTCTGAAGATTTGAGTGAAAACCTATATCCACAAAAGGAGGATATAAATTTTGTACAAAGGCTCTACCTCAGCTAAAAGGCAGCTTTCTGATTTTTCAAGGATGATCATGAGACTTACATCGTGTTTATGGCAAAAATTCACAGCTTGCAACGTCTGCCAAGTTATGTTCTTCACAAGATGTTCTGGTACCCTAATAAAAATAAAGAAGCGACACAAACACATTCTTTAGTGTAGCCATGGAATTCAGCTCAAAAATAGAAAAAAGAAAGTAAGACAAAGTAAGACAAGCTTAAATAGTGACATATCCATCCAGTCATCTAAGGCACAGAGCAGGTCCGGAGTGGGCTGCTCCAGGCTCAGCATACTGCTGGGTTCTAGGGATGGTGAGGTAAATACAACAGCAATACAAACATCTCCTTCTACAGGAAGAGACCATGAAGACTCATGGGGTTTCCACAAGTATTTATGTCCACCTACCTCAAACACCTGTGATGCCATCGGAAACCGCCTGCTAATTTGAGCTTCATTTCCACAAGAAGCTTTTCATTGATGGAAAGTTAGTTAATAGATAGTATAAAAGATGTTGCTATTTTTTCTTTTTCTTTTTTTCCAAGTTGCCCAAACTAATGCCTTGAGACAGAATTCATCTTTCATGCATGGGCACATGGTTTCTCCAGACTTGCCAGGCAGCAATTTTTTTAGGTAATGAAAGATTTTACTGCTGATAGAGGTCTACATTGCACACCACGTAACAAAAGTGAATAATAATTTAAAATTTACATGGGCATCTTGGTTCTTTCCCCACACTGCTTCTCTCTGGTAGCGAGATGCATTCCACTCCCCATCTTTCTGCTCTGTCTTCACTCACAGTGTCTAAACTTGGTGGCACTGCTCCCAGCACTTCTTCCCTGACACTCAGCTTATATAACCTAGGTAACCAATAGCCCTAGCAGATCCTTCACGTGAATTAGAAAAAGGCACCTTGGGGCAGCTGGGTGGCTCAGTTGGGTAAGCATCTGCCGTCAGCTCAAGACATGATCTCAGGGTCCTGGATTGAGCCCTGGTCAGGCACTGCTCAGTGAGGAGTCTGCTTCTCCTTCTCTCTCTACCCCTCCCCCTGTTTGTACACACACTCTCTCTCTGTCAAATAAATAAATAAAATCTTTTTTAAAGGAAAAGGTACCTCTTCTGGGAGCATTTAAAAAATATATTGAGCAATGAGTGAAATGACTACAGAGTATTTTTAGAACCCCCCGCCCACCAGCTGGACTTACTGTTTTTATGAAATAAACATTAAACAATGGTGTTGTGGTCCTCAGGCAGAACTAATAAGTAAACCAGAGAGGAAGCTCTTGGGTAGTTGTGTTAAAGTGACCAAAACAAGTCACTTCTAGGCTCTGGGAAGGGGCTACAAGGCCACTGTTGTCACAGACCAGATGTTCAGGAAATCCTTTCAAGAAGATCAGAGGACGCTTGAACAGAGGATGGGCCAACATGAAGGAAACAAAGAGGCCACTGCCAGGAAGAAGAGCTGGGACGTTTCTGGTCCAGAACCACATCCCTAGGCTTGAATTTGCTGCTTTCCAAATTCTCTCCCATGTCCTAGTGCCACATAGGTACAATGCTAGGAAAACTTACCTGTTTAGAAAGAAGGCCCAGAAAAATACAACTAAGATGAGGCACATTTTAGGGAAAATGCTTCCCCCAGCCTCCACTTCTTGTCCAGAAAAAAAAGGAACATATTTTGATTATTTAGTGACTTAAACATTAATTTAAGGTTATCAGTGCCGGGCCACATTAGACTCTAAAAACATTTCCCAAAAGAAATTATGCAAAAGGAGCATTTAAAAGTAAATTATAATAGCATATTATTAATCCTTCTCTAAGGCTGAGCTCATTATTACACAATCCTCAAACATCAAAACCACCTAGTGTCATCCTGAGTTAGCTGCTTATTTCACTTCTTTATTACCCGGGTTCTTTGAAATGCCAGGGCCTCAGACGTTATCTCTAAGATCCTTTTTAGCTGATGATGATGATGATGATTGGAGCCAAGTTTTTTGGCTGCTGAAGAAGGGAGTTACGAATATGGGAAGGAAAAAAAATAGAATCTGTTCTGTGGTGTTGGGCTGGAATTGGATATACACATACGTACAGAGGCTACTGTGCCAGAAAGGGCACCTTCTTACACAGGGTGCTCCAGAAAGCTCTGCTTAAGTCAACAACTGAAGTAGTGGTTACAGTGGTGAGAAGGGCCAAGATTGGGGCTATATTTTAAAAGTATAGTCTTCAGGATTTTCCAAGAGATTGAATATGAGAAACAGAGAGGAATCAAGGAATGATGCCAAGGTTCAGCTTGAGTAGCTGGTCCATGGTGGGTCCTTTTCCTGAGGGGAATGCTGAGGGAAGAGCTGGTTTTGAGAAGGGAAGGGTAGATATATTGAGATGCTTATTGAACATCCAAAGGATATCCTGGGTAGGCAGTTCTGAATTCATAAGGAAGGTAAGGCTGGAAATATAAATATGGGAAGCCTAAACATATGGATGGCATTTGGAGCCCAAGGACTGGATGAAACCACGTAAGGAGTGAATACAGAAAAAAAAGAGACGGTCAAAGTCCTGAGGCCCTACAACAGGTAGAGGTCAGAAAGTAGAGAGATTCAGCAAGAGACTAGGGTTGAGCCTGGAGGAAAACACAGTGATACTCAGGAAAACAGTGTCACTGAAGCCAACGGAAGAAAGTGTTTCAAGGACTTCTGGATTAAGATGCTGGGCTGAACAAACCCATCTAATTTCACTCCCTCTCCAAACCTGACTATAAATACACTGACAGATTTTTTCTCAAGACAAAACCTACATGGCCAGAGAGAACAGGAGAAGAGGTAATAGAAACACATTTTGGAATCTGGAAAACAGGTAGATGAATGAAAACTGGCAACATATTCTGGAAAGCTGAAACCTAAGCCAGAAGAGGAGAAAGTGGAAGAACAACCCATTTATTCCAAATAATCCTCCAAAGGTGCAGAAACTGGCCACCAAGATCGCTATGGAAGTGGGAGCAAAGGGGGAGTGTAGAAAATCTGTTTTGGAAACCATCAAATCCCTAGATTCCCTCCCCCATTTTATTCCAATAGGGAGCACTCCTTCCCCTACCTAGTAGAAGGCTAGAGTTTTGTTTTCTGAAGAGTGTAGCATAGAGGACATTTGGTATAGCTGAGATCGTGAGTACTGTTCCAAAAATGGAGGATTAAATGATTATGTACATACATACTAATGCTGAGACTCCCCAGCCTTTTTCCCTCACTACCTTCTGACAAAGTTGGCAGTCAGACTTCACTTTCCAAGGAAAATACTGGAAGACTTTTCTGGGGGAAGCTCAGGAGGAAAGATCTGAAAATTCTGACATTGGGGTACCCATCAAATGAACCAGCCAGATAACCCCACAGTGAAGCCCAGAGCTTCCAACAGCACCCTACTCTTAACCATGGGCAGACAACCAGAGACTATATGATGCCCAAGAAAAGCCTCAAATGAGAAAGGTAAAGGCCAAAACCAACAGAAAAAAGCAACTTAAAAGAAACAGAAACAATGGATAGTGAAGAGAGCATTAAAAAAGAAAAACAGGGGATCCCTGGGTAGCTCAACGGTTCAGCACCTGCCTTCGGCCCAGGGCATGATCCTGGAGTCCCAGGATTGAGTCCCATGTCAGGCTCCCAGCATGGAGCCTGCTTCTCCCTCTGCCTGTGTCTCTGCCTCTCTCTCTCTCTCTCTCTCTCTCTCTCTCTGTCTCTCTATCATGAATAAATAAATAAAATCTTAAAAAAAAAAAAAAGAAAACATCCTTTCAGCCAGAACTGCCATCTTCCAGTAATTCGCCAAAATGACCAACACAAAGGGAAAGAGAGGTACCCACTATATGTTTTCTAGGCCTTTTAAAAACATGGAGTTGTTCCTTTGGCCACATACATGTGAATCTGCAAGAAAGATGATATTGCGGACATCTAGGGAATGGGCAGTATTCAAAAAGGAATACCACACAAATGTTACCACGGCAAAACTAGAAGAGTCTACAATGTTCCTCAGTATGCTGTTGGCATTGTTGTAAATAAACAAGTTAAGGGCAAATTCTTGACAAGAGAATTAATGTACGCATTGAGCACATTAAATACTCAAAAAGCCAAGACTGCTTCCTGAAATGTGTGAAGGAAAATGATCAGAAAAAGAAGGAAACCAAAGAGAAAGGTACTTGGGTTCAACAGAAGCGCCAGCCTGCCCCACCCAGAGAAGCACACTTTGTGAGAACTAATGGAACGGAGTCTGAATTGCTGGAACCCATTCCCTATGAATTCATGGCATGATAAATGTAAAGAAAATAAAAGACCTCAAGATTGTAAAAAAAAAAAAGAAAAGAAAAAAGAAAAGAAAAGAAAAACATGAGTATTCTCAGAGAGAAAAGGAAAGCTGTTGCATCCATGAAATAAGAACAAGATACTATAAAAAAGCAAGAGGACCAGTCAGAATCCAGAATCCAAATAATAGAAGGTCCAGAACAAGAAAATAGAGAAACTAAAGGATAGGACATCAGTAATAGCTCAAAATTTTCCTTCTTGGGTAGAAGGGGCTCACCAAGTTCCAGCATAAAAGATGAAAAGTAAGGCTCATGATTTTTATAATTCAGAATTCTGTGAACAAAGAGTGTTCCCTGAGCTTCAGGAAATTTAAAAAAAGAAACAGGACTTCATAAAGGAGTGGAAAATAGAACAGCAACAGACTTCCTAACACTGGAAGATAGAAAGCACTTAAAAAAATGCCTTCAGGGATCCCTGGGTGGCGCAGCGGTTTGGCGCCTGCCTTTGGCCCAGGGCACGATCCTGTAGACCCGGGATCGAATCCCACGTCAGGCTCCCGGTGCATGGAGCCTGCTTCTCCCTCTGCCTGTGTCTCTGCCTCTCTCTCTCTCTCTCTCACTATCATAAAAAAAAAAAAAATGCCTTCAAAATTTTGAAGGCATATTATATTTTACCAAAAAACAAACATACAACCTCTACCCAAACAAAGTATTGGTCAGATTGGAAGAAAAAATAAAGGTTTTTTTAAAATGCAAGTGCAAGGTCTCAATCTACCTCTCTTTTAAACCTCTCCTACACTGTTTCTCAGGAAGCTCTTGGAGCATGCACCCCACCAAAAAGA